TCACAGTCTGCACGCTCAAGCCTAAACACCGAATGTTTTAAACTAAATGCTGCGTGGAAGCTTTTTGCATCTATTTTTTATTTGATTTTTTCTTATGAGCAGTAAGAACACACAGCTTGGTGGAATACAAATATTGAGTTCTACAAAAGGGAACTGAAAAGCCCTCTTGGGGGGGGGGCCTAATACGTGATGCCAGGACTTGAGTACACAACAATAAACAGGATCTGAAACCTGAAAGTGATATTGTATGATTTCAATCTGGAACTTGTAAGAATACGTGTTCAAGAATTGGAGCCTGGTCGGGGTTATCAAAAATTCAGCCGAACAACTTCTCTCGTTCTGGGAGATTTATTTGTCAGATCACAGGTCAAGTATCAGCGCTGCATTTGCAAAGGCAGGAGCAGTTCAGGCAGCACACAGGCCGGAAGAACAACTAACTAACATCAGCAAGAACATCATGTTTTATAACCCTCGAAAGACAGAGAAGGAAAGATTTCTATTGGCCCTAAACTGGCGTAGAGGAGGACCTTCCACCTCCTGCATCTAAAGATCCGGTCACATCCAATGTCCAAACTCCTGACTTAACGTAAACATCAGTGAACAGAGTGTGTATGTTGAATAGTGTTGGTGTGTCTCTAACCCCCCTTTGGCTGGAAAATCTACTAGTTGACCCGCAGACCTTACATTCCTCAGCCAGGACAGAAACTGACTCCCCATCCTGTCAGACTCGTGTCTGCCTGCTCGGCACATCCTGCTTCCACCCTTACCTGACTCTTAAATCAAGACAAGACAGCGACTAAGCCAACTAAGCCCATGAAATGAACTTTTGATTATCAAACTTCTGAAAGTCAAAATCTATTCACTTCAAAGAAAACTGATGTAGATGTAGAGGTGAGGCGGCTAAAACTAAAGTTTAATTAAAGTTTTCTCTGGGGGTGATCATTTCCCAACTGGCCTGATGCATGAACTGTGAGAGTAACAAATATGTGTGAAAACATTCCTGACTACTTTTACCGGCATGTTACCTCAAAAAGAGACACCTTTGAGAAATCAAGTCTTATTTAAATCCATGAAACTCAACTAACAACACTATGCTTATGATTAATGTGCCCGTCAATATATAACAAAATATGTGATCGGGATGTTGTTCTCGTTTTGTGGTAGCACGGCCTTTGAGCTAAATGCTAACAACAGGATGCTCACAATGCTAGCATGCTAATGTTCAGCATGTCGCCATCTGAAGTTAAGGCGCACAAACTTTGGGCCATCGGCCGGCTTCACTTACTGGTGCACTCCCAGTACCTCCCAGTCCTTGGCTGCCTGCAGGGGCCTGGTCAGCTGGTCCAGCGTGTGGGGGCATATTTCAATCAGCCGACAAAGCAACGACCAGCCCACCTGGAACAGAGAAGACCATCAAAAGATCAACAGCACAGAAACGAGGACGCATGAAGGACCAAATAGGGGGACTTCAGCTCAGGGGGGAAGAGTGCTTTCACTTTCTGCACCTGAGGACCTGAACGAAAACTACTTTGACTGCATGGTGGATGAGCCCATAGCAATCGGGTGTTTTCTCCATCTCCAAAGTCAAACTTCTCAACACCAACAGGCTTTAAATGATTCACACTATCGGGCCTGATGTGTCACACATGTGCCTACGGCTCGAAAAAAAAAGGAGAAACCAGGTTCCTGCTGTTTTCAAAAGATTATTTCCAGGGACATTTTCAGCGGTCGTCTATGACGGACAGAGATCACGTGTCCCTTTTATGATCTCCGAAAGGGATTTACACATTAAAATAACCTCTCCCCCCGGCGCTTGGAATTTCTGAAAACCTGATTCTGTTTCATTCATCAGGCAGCAATTCGTCACGGCCGACTGACTCGCAGTGTTGACTTTCGGGTTTGTGTCGCGCTGCTATCACACTTGTGATAAGCCGCCGTCACGCGACGCTGTAAACATGCCGGATTGGGCCGGAGCAACGCCAGCGGCTAAGGTGAGCAGCGGACGCCGCTGCTTGAAGTCTGTTTCCTACAAGATGGCCCAATAACAAAACTGCTGATGCAGGGAAAAAACGGCAAGGAGAAACACAAGCAGACGAATGGGATGTCCCGGGGGTCTCGGGGTACCTGCTGGACTCCTCTGCTGCCGATGTAGGACGACAGCACCACCGCGAGGGGGCCGTGGACGTCTTTGTCCTCAAACAGCTCGGCAGCTGCGACAGATATTCAAAGAGAAAACTGTGAAGAATCCGCTTTGAGTGAACTAATTTCCATTTTTAGACTGAACTGAACTCAGTGTGATCATCTGGTATTGATCACAGTCAGTGGAGATGAAGAGGAACACAATGTGAAAACACTTGTTGTCTAAAACCACAAGACATTCCATTTATTTTGACACCAGACAGAATAAAAACAGCCAATTGAGGGGCTGAAACGGGAATATTTTGAGTTATTTTTACTGTATTTTTTTCTTTTACTATATATATATATATATATATATATATATAGCTAAATAAAAGTAAATTTCTACTGCAGCAACTTGGAAAAGTACGCATAAAAGTGGTACCAACTTCATATTAAAAACCAGATGATGCTCTGTTGGATTAAATAAACTCAACAGGGCATCGGCCCCCTGCAGTGTGCGTCACACCTTTACCTGTAAGCTATTCACCAGCAGCACGGGTCCTAAGTGAGGCCTTTGGAGGATGCAGTTAGTGGACAAAGAAGTCTCACAATCTGTTTAGAAGAAGCCTAAACTGACAAGCAAAACTTAGGACCAAACTCTGAAGCTGTGGTGGAAGTACTTTGTTGAGGTACTTGTGCTTCACGGAGTATTTCTGTGGCTTTTTGTTCCTACTCCACCACTTTTAGGGAACTACTGCTGTACTTTCGTCCCCATTCACGTCCCAGTTACCTTACTGAACAATATTTCACAATAAAAGCGTATGTACAACTTGAACTTGACACTGCTACATATGAAGCAGCTCAGATAAGCGCAACCTCCACCTGCAAAAACACGAGTGATACTCGTTAACGTCATGTTAATTCATTACTTCAAGTAGCATTCCTTTTCAAATATTGCCTAAATGCAGTAAAGGACGTGTACTTCTTCCACCACTGCCTATGTGAAAGAAACAATTAAAAAAACTCAAATCATATAATGTGACATATTTAATAGCTCATCTCTTGGAGTGTTTTCCCACTGTGTTGTTACTACTACTTAACTTTACCTAAAGTTAAATATATTTTTTAGGTTTTTTTTTGTTGCCCTACCGTTGTCGGTGTGCGCGAGGAAAAGCAGATCCTGGAGGATCTGGATCAGCGTGCAGAGCTGTCGGTCCTCCTGCGGGATCTTCAGCCTCACCAGGAGCTTCTTCAACCTCTCCTCCAGCTCCTCTCCGGTAACCATAGTCACTGTCCTTACGTCACGTCGCCAAATACCAGCGATGTCGGTCACGTCATTGTTCTTTTATCAGCTCCGGTCGGGCTCCCGGGTCGCTGTCCCGAGCGGACGAGAGTGACGACGTGACGGAGTTCCGCTTCACCCCGTCCTAGAACTACTTTCCCCCCGAAGTGTTCCTCTTTGTGGGCTTTGTATTGTGCCTGCGGTCATAGTTCCTCCTAAGACACCCCCCACCCCCCCTCGATAAAGAAAGGAGAAGGAAAAAATCAAACTCCCCGAATGTGAGAGAGGAAACTGAGAAAGGGGGTGGTGGTGTTGGTGGAGAAGTGACTCTGGGTAAATCCCCGCCTCGTTTTGTTTGCTCGTTAAAACACTCAACTTGCATTGGCTGTGATTGACAGGCACAGTTTTAAAGGGGCCCTCCCACTCGGTGGGCGGTGTCACATTTACCGCGCAGGGATTCGTGCTGCGTTAAAGAAATCCACGTTTGAACGTTTGTTTGTGAATCGGCAAATGTACGCAGCCCGTGTGGTTTATATCAAAACTGCGTACAGTGAATTGGGATTTTTATCCACATTCGGCCTAAATGACTTCACACGAAACTATGATTAAACAAATCTACGAGTAAAAATAAAGAAATAAAACCTCTCGCCAACAACACAATTAAAAACATTTATCACAGTCGTTTGTATTAATACAAACGACTCTGTGATAAAAAAAAAAGAATTATGAAACTAACTTTTTAAATGAAACCCAAATGCTTCAGTCTCCATAAATGAATACATAGCAGCTGTTGTGAACATACGCGAGGGGTGAAAATCTATTTTTAGTGTTTATTAATTGTATTTCGTGTAATGGGCGTGTTCTTCTTTTCCTGTAACTCAATCATGTGATCGGCCGACACCTCCCGGTTGTTGAACAGGACACTAAAAACCTCCTGCTGCGGTGCTCCGGACAAAACTTCACACAGGTAGACACCACAGACGTTTGGTCGAGTTTATTTTGCACGTTCAACATCTGTTTGGTTAACTTTTTATGTGTGATTTGGTCGTTTGGTATTTCATCTACCGACTACGTGGAAGTGTAGTTCTTGACCTGATATTTCCTCATCATCGACTGATTGCTGCGACTCTCCACTTTGGTTTGAGTTGGTTTGTGTGTGTCTGCTAGGTAATTTACCTAAATAAAAATACAACACTTAAAATAATATGGCTGTGAAACATGTGAAACATATGGCTGTGAAACATGAAACACACAATGAAACATGTGTCACCCCCGCGAGGCCGAATTACTTAAAATAACAATACACGGTTTTTACATCTGTTTTAACTTACAAAATATTTACCGATAAATTAGGATTTATACAAATGTTAGATTGTTGGACGGAGTTCGGTGCTGCGCTCTTGAGCCGATCCCAGTTTCTTCCTATTTTAAACAAGTAAAGTGATTACTCCAAACACATGTTTTCCGAATCACAATTCGTGATTTTAAATGAAGACGATCGAGGTTAGTTGTTAATAATTGGGGCAGGTTTTCATGGCAAGTCATGTGACAACAGTCTTTTTCAGTGCTTTACCCCAGAGTAGTCCACGTGACTTATCCGGGAGTCACGTGACGTAAACATTAAACATGGCGGCTCACTATGAGTGGTATTGTTTGAAGCCATTCAAGTGCGCTGTTTAACTTGAGCCAAACTTCTATCCCGATTGGAATTAAAATCGCCTGTACTATTGGAACAGAGGCTCAAATGAGCTTTGTGGCCACGTGTTTTAGTTAGCATGTAGCTTAGCTGATACCTGTTACATGATAGCTGTTGCATGTTTCTTCTCTCGAGCTGGACTTAAAACATGTCTTTTGGTGATTAGCAGGATGTCAGCCGTTGAAAAGAAAACTCAAGGTGTTTGGGCTCACATTTTGCTCAACTCTGCCATGTTTTGAGTATGTTTTGTTTTGTTTTTATCGTCAACTTAACTCCTGGTCTCCCCAAAGTCCAGCAGCCACGATGAAGACGGTGTGAGTTCCATGATCTCCATGGACAGCCGGACACAGGAAGCAGTGGATGAGGGAGAGCGGAGTGTCATCAGGCCTCCCTCGGGGGATGCTCTGGACCGAGACGCCTCCCCGCCTGTCTTTCTCTACGTGCTGGCGTTCTTCTCTGCCCTGGGGGGATTTCTCTTCGGATATGACACCGGGGTGGTGTCCGGGGCCATGCTGCTCCTGAAGAAGGAGATGAACCTGAGCGCCCTGTGGCAGGAGCTGCTGGTCTCCAGCACCGTGGGGGCCGCGGCCCTCTCGGCCCTGGGTGGAGGCTACTTGAACGGGTGGCTGGGGCGCAGGGCCTGCATCCTGTTGGCCAGCTTGGTCTTCAGCATCGGAGGCGTCATCATGAGCCTGGCCCCGGACAAGGTGGTGCTGCTCGTGGGAAGGGTCACGGTCGGTTTGGGCATAGGTGAGTTCACCATAAAGTATTTTCCATCCAGCTGAACGGAGGGGGTTAGAAACACATTGTGTGGAACTTTATGAAACGTGAAACATTCACAAGTATTCAGACCTACGTTTTGTCCGCAACAAAAACCCTTTCTTGTGTTTTCCCATCAGGCATTGCCTCCATGACGGTTCCTGTCTACATCGCCGAAGTGTCCCCCCCTCACAGGAGAGGTCAGCTGGTCACCATCAACTCGCTCTTCATCACCGGCGGGCAGTTCGTCGCGAGCGTGGTCGACGGCGCCTTCAGCTACGTGAGCCGCGGCGGCTGGAGGTGCGCGCCGCTTCTTCTGAGAGAATCTTCTAGCCACAGGCCTCCGCTTTAGTCGTGTTTACCTCGGCCTTTGTGACCGCGGCTCCTCTCAGGTAGACGACTGAAAATAAATCGGCACAGCTGGAAACCACGGAAAAAAAACTATACAATACCAAAAATTGTAATAGTGGAACAGTGTGGATTTATTTAGAAACAATAGAGTTGAATATAGTGATGTAATATTACAATAGACAATTTACACAAACCCAAAACAATAAAATACATGATTCATAAAAACAATAAATTAAAAACTCCAACCTAAAATACAATAACATTTTTAACAAACAAGGATTTAACAAAAAGGATGACACATAATTGACACGTTAAAAAAAACAGAATAATGGAACAAAAGCGGTAAATAGAATAAAGTAAAACCATTCTTCATTAATATGGCAGTTGTGTACTTTGCCCACTAGGTGGCAGTGACTCTCTGTGTCAAAATATAACTTTGCCTTCTGGGCTGTAAATAGTATTTAAACTTTTAAAACTATGAACTATTGCGGAACGCAAAACCTTCAGGAAAAAACAAATTCAATGGTGTTTGCCGACAGCATTGGTGCCGTTGACGAGCTCTGAACATGGAGCTCGATGGAGGTTAATGCGATGATGAAGCAGCTCCACTACGCCCTACGTCGCCGTCTTGAACCCCTGAGAGTCTTCAAAACCATCTTCTTTTGTATTTTATTTTCACCACCACCAACCTTCTGGTCCTTCTGCAGGTTCATGCTGGGCTTGTCTGTTATCCCGGCAGTGCTGCAGTTCGTCGGCTTCCTCTTCCTGCCCGAGAGCCCCCGTTGGCTCCTCCAAAAGGGTCGGAGCCAACAGGCCCGCCGAGCTCTCAGCCGGATCCGAGGAGGCCGGAGCATTGACGAGGAGTACGACACTATCCGAACCAGCATCGAGGAGGAGGGGAAGGAGGCGGGCGGAGGTGAGATATTATATTATAAATATAATATAATGTAATAATATAAGATTTTTATTATAAAAAAATGTAGAAAAATGTGACAACAAAGTGACGTTGATGGTCCGAAGTTTATTGTTCCTCAAATAATTCTCTTCTTTAGGAGGCCATGTTATTTTGCAGATCTTTGGCCACGGTCCGACTCGAAGGGCCCTCGTCGTCGGCTGCGGCCTCCAGATGTTCCAGCAGCTGGCTGGGATCAACACCGTCATGTAGGTTCAACCCCCTCCTCTCGTACCCCCCCCCCTCCCACCTCCCTTGAGAGGGCTCAACTGTTGAATGAATACGGTGTTTCTCACCCCCCCCTCGTTTCCAGGTACTACAGTGCGACCATTCTGCAGATGGCCGGGGTGCAGGATGTGAAGCAGGCAATCTGGTTGTCCGCGGCGACTTCTGCCACCAACTTTGTGTTCACGCTGGTCGGTGTGTGGCTGGTGGAGCGAGTGGGCCGCAGGAAGCTGACCCTGGGCAGTCTGTTGGGTCTGTGTCCTCATTTGTATACCTCCACAGATATGAGTGGCTTGATTGATCAGTGGGAGGTGTCTTCCAGGATCTATTTTTTTTCTCATGATTTATTCTTCCGCTTCAACGCAGGCACCGGTCTGAGTCTGTCTGTCCTGGCGGTCGGGTTTTGGCTTTCCGCCCGGTATTCTCCGCCCGCCACCCTCCACCCGGTCGACGCTCAAAACTCCACCTGCCGGCTCTACGGGTGAGCGAACGGGCCGCACCCATTTCAATCATCACTTCTTTTCTTATTGAGGCCAAATATTGCCCGTCTCAAACCCCTTCCGATTCGATTGCTGAATATTTATCAGTATTTTAAACATCAACAGGTGGAATCGTAGAGGGAGAGATTCCTTGTACGCTCCCCACTGACAGAAGCCAGAGTCGTGATTCACATTTCAAATATGAGCATGACTCACCACCAAATATTCACTCGCTCTCGGCCGAGTCCGTCAAGTCTGGGCCCCTCTTTCAGGGAGCGGTTGAAAAACATTCGAGGGAATGTTGGAAATCACTCAAGTATTCTTCAATTCTGATCCAATTTTCTCCCCATCTTTTCATGATCTCTGTTTCTGTTACACAAATGTTAAAATACCCAAAAGGCTTTTGAAGCCGTCCTTATAATATGATATTCACATAGAGCAAAACTTGACACCTAGAGGTTTACTTTGTATTCACAATGTGTCCAAATATCCACTTTCCTTTCCTCTGCAGTCAGGCTTTGTCTCCTCTGGCAGAGTCTTTGTGCTTGTCTGTCTCTCTCTGTCCTATCTGAGTCTCCACGTTGGGTTCTGTCCTCCAGGTCCTGTGAGCTCTGCATGTTGGATCCAGATTGTGGATTTTGTTATCGAGAAAACGGCAGCGCCGTGTTTGACTCCTCCTGCGTTCCCGTGGGTCAGGCCTCTACGGATCACGCCGCCTGGGGGAGGTGGGGCCCTTTTTCCTTTAAGAATATACCGAGAGTAAAATAAATGCACCTGTAATCGGCAAAGCACGTGGTAGAATAAGCCGCTGTGTGCAGCAGTTATGTGACGTGGGCACACAGAGCAGCTTACACATCAGCAGACGAGAGTTTGTCTGCCTTGATCGAGATCATATTATAAATTGAGAAGTCAAACCTGTAGAGAGAAGTTGTTGTTTCTTTAATGCAGGTGTTCCAACCAGACGGAGGCGACGGGCAGCCCCACCTGGGCCTACAACTACTGCCCCACGTCCTACTCCTGGGTGGTCCTCACGGGCCTCCTCCTCTACCTCGGCTTCTTTGCGCCTGGTCTGAAACCACTTTGCTCATCTCTGGCATATTGAGTATCTGTGATTTGTTCTGAGCTACTGACCGTGTGTCTAGAAAAAATGCACCACTTTTACTGCTCTTGACAAGCACAGAAAGATCACGCTCCAGTCGGCAAAACAACTGTGTGTGTGTGTGTGTGTGTGTGTGTGTGTGTGTGTGTTAGGGATGGGCACCATGCCCTGGACGGTGAACTCTGAGATCTACCCGCTGTGGGCCCGCAGCACCGGCAACGCCTGTTCAGCCGGGGTCAATTGGACCTGCAACGTGCTGGTGTCGCTGACCTTCCTCCACATCGCTCAGTACCTGACATACTACGGTGAGACAAGGTCACGTATGCTGAAAAAGCTTGTTGGCAATAGTTTTATCAATGAAAAAAAGAACTTGGAAGTCTTTAAATCTCTCTTGAAATGACTTCTCTTCACAGGATCTGCATAATGTATAAGATTAAATATGAACTCCTCCTCTCTATGTTTTTCCACACGCAAACATAACCGCCGCTGCAGGGGCCTTCCTCATGTACGCGGGCCTGGTGGCGTTGGGGCTCCTCTTCGTCTACGGCTGCCTCCCAGAGACCCAGGGCCTGCAACTCGAGGACGTGGAGAGCCTGTTCACCGGTCAGCTCTGCTCCTGTGGGGCCTCCTCGTCCACTCGCCACGTCCAGTACAGCCGGTTGAACGGGAGCAACCCCCCCCCCTCGGATGACGACGACGACGCTGCCACGGAGACAGATTAGAGGTTTTCTTTGGATTTTAATGGCTTTAAGTGGCATTTTTAGATTTTATATTTCCAGTATAGAGCTCTTTGCACCACTTCCAGGCCGGGCAGCAGTCTCTTCGTGAGCGACTTTCTGACTTCAACGTGTATCAACCAGCAGGAATGTGTTTGTACTGTGGCCTCGCTGACTTTGTGAGGAACACTTTGATGTCTGCCTCATCTGTACGTCGCGTACAACTCTTCCAAAAGACATTCCTGTTGGATACCATGGGTTTAATCTTTTAACATGTCTGATATTGTTGCTATTGTTTACACAGTGGGAGAGATTGCACTTTAAAAGACTAAAATGTGTCCCTTTTCTGAGTTAACGTCAACACATCTTTTAAAAAAAAAAAAGTTTTTACTTGTTAGAACGTGTTACAGAAATATACGCTAATGAAATGAACATGCGCTAATGAAAATTAATATGCCTTTTCTTAATGTTAATCTCTGTTTATGCAGCTCAGGTAATGGGACCAAGTCACCATGACACAGACTCTTTGATTAATGCACACTTTAATTTCAAAGACTGACAGATCCTTATTCAAAGCTCTTTGGTACATTTTTGTTAAAAGTGCAGGCATGAACTTGCTATTTCTCTGATGTTTTATTTGTTTCTTTTTTTTAATGCCACTAAGAACTAGTCGTGCTTTTGACATACTGACATCTGGGGAACTGATTCTGATGGGGAAATATTTTGTTGTAATATGGGAACAAACAAAAAGGCCAATATTTATCCTTCTTATGTCATTTGTTATGATAGCAGTGTGATCACTTGATTACTACTGAGCTGTTACCAAAAAGGGCTGAAAGTATTGCTGATTGTATTAACTTCTTAGAACAGGTGGAAAGCAGTAATTTATTTGAGAAGCAAAATCAATAAATCCATTAAGTTGATGCTGATTTCCATTTTGTATTTCAGAAATTCTCAATATCTGTAAAGTTACATTCCACATCTGATTATATTTCTGTTTATCAATGTGCTCTTTGGGAAATAAATAAATACACACATGGTGCCTGACAGTGTTACAACACAATGAAGATCTATGATCTGTGAAGTGACCTGTGATTGGTCGTGGAAGTCCGAGGAGGATGGTGAAGATGAAGCCATGGGACCATGGCTTCATCTTCACCATCCTCCTCGGGCCTCACGTAGTTTCTTGATGGTTCGCATCCACAGGGTGGCACTAAAAGTTCTTTTAAGGGAGTCAGTTACTTGTGACTCCACTAACCCTGCAGGTCAGTGTTTAGCAAGCATGCAGATTACAAAGCACATTTTCCTGCAGGTACATCTGCAACACTAGGAGTTTTTCATCAAGTACTTAAGTAAGAAATAAACAGATACTATGGTAAACGAGTACTGAATTAGAAGCAATAAAGAAAAGAATGCTCACTGTTTGCTAATCCGATGATGTATGATGGTCTCGCTTAGTGTTTAAAGTATAAAATAAAATCATTGAATTTTTTCAGGATGTGTGCATCATGTTTAAAAAAAATTAAAAAGACTAGTTAATTGATGAACAAAACACATTTAATTTGTTTAAATTAATCAGATAATGTATTATGTTTCAGGGGATTTTTGAAGTATTCCATAAATCACTTATTCTTTTTTACAAAATTTTCCTGACGTTTCACCCAAACCTATACGACACCCGTGTAATGACGTCATCTCGCAACAGTTTTTCCGCCCGGAGAGGGCGTGGCTTGCCGACGCATTGCGGCTCCCTCCCCGGGTCCGTTGAACTTGTTGCGAAGCACAGTGGTCCATGAGTGCATCCGTGCGCGCGCGCGAGAGAGAGAGAGAGTGTGTGGGTGCGTGTAGCATATGCGCGCACGGCAGTGGCTCACCTAGCAGCAGCAAGAGTCTGCCCGCATGCGGGCTCGAACCGGAGGCGAACTGCGCAGAGATGCGGCGCACATAGACGCGCCACGCCGCCCCCCCCCCCGCTGCCCCATCACGGTTCTCGGAACCCGTTAAGCTAATAGTTGGCGTTTGTTTGTAAATGGCGGCGCTGGAGCGGAGGTGAGCCGTTGCGTCGTTCGGTCCACTCGCTCGGCCGGCGGACCCGCAGACTGCGCACTGTTCTTTCCGCCTCTCGCTTTCTTTCTTTTTTGTTCCCTTTTGTCGTCGACTATCTTGTAACAACAAGGAGCCATGACTTCTGGGCAGGATGAGAGCTCCGTGCGCGTGGCGCTGAGGTAAGTCACCAACGTTTCCCTTCATTTCTACCAATTAAACGGCCAGGTGCGCAGCGGGGTCGTGTTTTTTTTTTTATCGCGCCACCTGTCAGTCGGCGCCGCGGGCCTCGTAGCAAAACACCTGCACGTCCACGGCAACATCTGCTCACGTACACGCGCACTCGCTTCTTCGTGACCCAGTTCCACCGGCTTTTCGTGACACATTTTCGGGCTGTTTAGCGGGTCATCACCTCTGCAGGGATGGGCCCCGGCGGGATGCACACGCACGCACGCGCACACGAGTCCGTCTCTGGCTCATTGTGGCACGCACCAGCAGGGATGATATCATCTGAGAGACAGCTCTCCTCAGCTCAAAGCGTCCTGCAGACAGCTAATCGACCGGAGAGGAGCTTTATCTGACGCGCAGCTTCCCTGAAAGGACTCGTTCAGTAACAAGTCTTTGCTCTCTGCTCCGGCACCATCGATTCGGACCCGTCGGTTCTATCGGTCTTCTTGTCTAGTACCCACACTTGATGTGCTATTGTGCTGAAGTAGGCCGCTCCCATCCCAGCTGGTGAGGTGGCACAGTGACATAATGGGAAACCAGTCTCCCCCCCCCCTCCTCCTTTCTGTCTCTCCCAAGGCCACTCAGAGACCGTTATGACAAATAGTGCCGTGTTGTTGCATTCGTCCCGTCTCTCTCCTCTGTATCCGTTTGTTATCCAGGATTTGATGATTTGTGTCGTGTTCTGCTCGCCCCCCTGTGCTCCTGGGCGCTGAAGGGATTCGTCATGTTTGTGGAGCGTCCTGATTTCCACGTTTTAAAATGTCTTGAGTCCTAGTTTAAATCTCCATATATAGATATACTTTCTATACAGTCCATCACTGTTTGTATTGCTATCTCATAGCGAGTGGGTCAAGTGTCGTTGCGCTGGACTGAATCTTAGCAGGGCTCGACAGTGTGGGGCCTCCAGGTTGCCAATGGCAACCGTCTCGAGAAATTGGCAAACAATTCCGAGCCTCTGGTTGCCGTTGGCAGCAAAACTTGCACCACAGTCTCTTCAACTGTGTCTGAGAGAAGATTTAGAGACCGATTTAAGCTTCCATCCAAGCTGATGGAAGCTCTACTGCTATATTGTGTATAGGGAACTAATGGTGGATAACACTCACTATTAATGTGTAAAGTAACATCAAAGATTTAGTTGTTATTGGTTTATGATAATTTTGAGCTGAGTTAAGCCAGCTGGGCAATATAGAATCAAAACAATGACATTTCCTCAAAACTGACTTTAGAGCCAGTTTATCATGTGTCAAAAGCAACATGATCCACATACAAAATATGTGCTTGTCTAAGACGAATATAAGTATATGTATTTAAAAAGTGTCTTTCGGATGTGCAAATTGCAGTAAAACAGCATCCATCCAGTAAGAGGTGGATGTTTTTGTGTTTAAAATTACAGGGCTGATTCCCCCCCAAAAGCCCTGTTCTTCTTTCTCATTAAAGGGCTTTATGGCTCCACAACTAATGTAAAAGTCAGTTCAGTGGGGCTCACACGGCTTTGTCTCCTCCTCTTGACATCCTGCTCTCTAGTGGGTTTGCTGTGCCGTGTTTTTAACTGCTGCCAACTGCCAGGATAGTTTGTCATGGCGACTGTTGACAAGTCTCCCCGAACACACGCACAACCAGTTCAAATAAGGCGTGACGGTTTCATTTGTTCCGCTGCTTTATAAACTCAACATATTTGGCTATATGCTCACTCCCAGGTGCGTGTGTCAACTAAATAGCTCATATGTAAATGCAAGGGAAAGAATGTCCAGCTCGTCTTTGAGTGAACCTTAATCCATAATTCTTGATCCCAGATTTCGTAGTCACTTCAAGCAGGGTCGTTAACGGAGCAGGCGGGGGGGGGGGCAGAGGGTCCACTCGGAGGTTGGTTAGTTAAGCTCGGGTGTTGAACCGATTATCTCCACAGAAGCTGGTTCTGTTCTTTCAGAATCCCACAAAGGAGCTCAAAACGTTTTCAACGTTAACCGTGCATGTATGTTTGCAGTGGGGGTGGACGCGTCTTTGAAGTGGGGGGGGGGGGAAGTATGTTTGTAATTGGGGGTGGACGTATTTTGGGAAGTGGTGTTGGACGTGTGTTTGTTGTGGGGGGTGGGCGTATTTTGGAAGTGGTGTTGGACGTGTGTTTGAAGTGGGGGTGGGGGGAACGTGTGTTTGCACAGTGCAGGACGTCCCAAGTCTTTTTTAAATACGTACATTGCGGGGAGGGGCTCTGGTGAAGAGTGAAGACTTGTTGGACCTGCCTGCCGTGCGTCTCACTGCAGTAGTACATTTATCGACTGAAAGGTGTGCATCAAAGCCGGAGGGAGGGGCCCTGCACAAGGGAGGGGCCCGGCCTGTGTTTATATCTGCTGTAACAACTCTGCGTTCCCCGGTTACTTCCAGCTGCCGAGCAATAACATGTAGTGTATTGGAAAATTCTCTCGCGCCCCCCCCATATGAGAAGTTGATTAATGATGCTCAGCTGAATGGTGTCAGGGGACAATAATGAAATTGGTCCCCTAAACCTCTGTAATGACACCGGTGTTAGTGGCTTAAGCCCCCTGGTCGTGGCTCACCAGCCGGGGGGGTTACCCTGGTAGGAGAAGCTCGTTAGAATGAGCTGCACGATTAGAGGAGATATCCTCTGCTACTTAGTGACCTAGAGTGGAGGGGGGATGACAGGAGACAATAGCTGTGGGGGGGTTACAGTGCAAACAGGCGAGGGGCCTCACGGCTGCAGAGTAATGGTGAAAACATTGGGAGGAAACAAGTTTCCTCAGTTTTGACTCCTTATGAGTGTAAAATCACCTGGCTTTATTGTCTCATGTGAGGATCTGCTGCTTTGCTTTCTTATTTGACACAAATGACATCCCAGTTCCTTGAAGAATTATAGTACGAGCTCTTGACTAGCAGCAGCGGTGCTTTTTGGTAACCTTCTAGTAACGGAACAAGCAGATTTCTTTGCTTAAGGACCCCCCCATTCCTCCCCATATTCAATATCATCCTGTAATCAAGCCATGGTGATGTGCTCATAGCCTTCAGCAGGGACCTAAGTCCTTGTTCAGTCCATAAAATGTCCTGGAAATGTACAGAAACGTAAATATTCACTTTACAAGGACCCAAAGACCATTGTAACATTTCTACATGTGAAAAGCTGGTGGCACAGATTTTTTTGCTTGATTCTCTGCTGCACATCTCCAATGATTAGATATGGAAATGATGTTTTAAGTGATTTTAGTCTGTAAACCCAGCCGCTGTAGACAGCAGCTCTTCCTCTGTGAGAGGACGCTAAGCATAGACACACTAAGACTCAGCGCGGCTCCTGGAAATAGACTCCCGGCCCGCCGCAGCGCGGCGGGAGGACCTCGGTTATCCACACCACGGCCTCTTAAGGAGTCGCACACAGAGCGACGCACGCACCACATGTGGACACGCCATCCCAACTAGGAACGGCTTTCCTCCCTCCTCTATGCTCCTGCAAAAATAAATGAGATGATGTAATTATATAGCATCATCCGGGTAAATATGATGTTCTCTGCCCTGCTGCCTTTTGTCTTTATCCCCCCGCCCCCCAGTCCACTGATCGGTCCAGTTAAGGGGCTCAGCTGAAAGCAGACGAGGGCTTCTAAATGTGGATGTGGATGTAACTGAACTTCCATCATCAAACTGCCAGCAGATCGTCTCAAATAGGCCTCAGACAGTCACAAATAGCGCTGTTTGCATAGTGAGCTGCCACCTCTTATTTATGTGAGGAGGCTGCAGCTAACGGGGGGGGGGGGGGGCTGCTCGCAGTGGGGCAGTCTATTGAGGTCGTCACACAGCTTCCTCACCTTAAACGCGGGCGGTGCATGTAAATAACGTGCTTTCCCACCTCCTGCCACCACCTAACAGCTGTGTGAATCTGCATATCCAGAAGGTGTTGGTGATACGAGCTGGGCTGCAGTGTGTGAGCCCCCCCCCTCCCTCATGACGGGGAAGTAAAAGGTTGCACATCTGACAGAGCCGCAAATGGTTAACTGCTCGGCGCCCCACCGACCTCCTCTGATGTGTTTGCCTAAACTATTATCTGCTATCTGGCTGCTTCGACGGCAGCGGATGGCGGCAGACGTGTGCTTTGGAAAACGCGCGCACACGCACACACACACACACACACACACACAGTTTTTGTGTCCTGGCCTGACGTTGACACAGTGAGGGGACTCTTGTGTCAACACAGCACTGTTGAATGACACTGCAGTCCGCTTCTGACTCTGCAGCCTACACAGTCATCTCTTCTTCTACATCCTGAGTCGTTACTTTAGCACGCTATGGTGAAGGCTTGCAGATTAATGCCAGTGCAGTTCAAAAATTTATAAAAAAAATAAAATACACTTCTCAACATTTTTCCGTCGCAGGTGAACATTGTCGCTGCTGGAAACCATTTTGCTCCACTAATATTCCCCAGAAGCCGGTCCAGAAGGACTTTATGTAAATTATGTAAAACACTTACTGTAAATGTCCATATTGTTATGCAAACTATTAGATAGCCAGAGGAAATGGGTCATATTCTGCTAATATTTAATTCCACTGCAACATTGCTTGTTATTAGATAGTACAGTGGTCCCCAACCTTTTTTACCTCACGGACCGTTTTCAGGTCAGACAATATTTCGCGGACCGGTCGAGAAGGTCCGACGGGGGGGGGGGTAGTAGTCATGCTCTGTGTTCGCTGGTCGGCAAAACTGCCTTGCACGGTAAAAGGACAAGAAAAACGCCTGGTGACGCGTGGGGAATATGTCAGAGGGACGAGCGCACATAATTAAGAGAAAATCCGGTCAATTATAATAGTACACAGATGTTGACTGTAGTTTTTATATATATAATAATATATATATATATATATATAAGTCGGAGAAAGGCTTTAAAAACCACCGATAGTGATGGGCTGTCCTGCTCCCTGACCTTTGACCCGCAGGGAGCGGTGAGAGCTGTTATCGGCGTGCCTCAGGGACCTTGTTGTTGACCTTGAAGTACATTTTCCAAAGGCGAGGTTAAAGCTGATAGCAGTCACGCTTTGCTTGTGAAATAACAATAAAACAAATGTTTTCTTTCTGATATCGTACAGTGATGAAAAAACTTGTTTTTTAACAACTTGATCACTAAATGCCCAGTTTCAACAGTTAGTGAAGTCTGTATAAGATCCAAATGAAGAACTGTCTGTTATTCAACATCAGGAGAATTGTCACATCGACTTCATTAAAAATCAACACACTGTCAGATTCCACAAAGAAATGCCGTCCTTTTAGCATTTCTCATTTTACTTAAATTCTATTTAATCCCCTTGGTTGAAGTTGAGTTCTTTGCACTTGACCCGAGGCTAACTAACTAAATATTTCAAATCCTTTAAATGTTCTATTTTTAACCTCCACTGAGCTTTGTGCAACTAACGGAGTGCACAAGCAGCCTGGCAACAGTTATACTTGAAAAGAGGTAAAATGATCCCTGAGGGTAAAGAATAATTACATGATGATATAAATCTAGATATTTATCTTTGGTGCTTGTGCTTCAGTCTTGTGGCAGAAAGCTAACCCCCTGCCACGCCCCTCCCCCGCCGCCGTCTTTTAGTCGTCCAGACCAGCTTCATGCCCCGCCGGGATCGGATTAGGGCTTTTAATTATCCTCTTCCATTACCGGTTACTATGGCAACCCCATCATGCCACGCAGAGACTCGTCTCCGTGCCGCACGGAAACAAAGACCTGCCGGTGCGTTCTGATGAAACGTCGAGTCACAGCGGATGAAGTTGAAGCCGTCGTCGGTGGCCGGCATGCATAAGTGGCGTGCGCTGGTGGGTTTTTTCTTCTTTTTCTCGTGCAGCGCGTCCGTGGCCTGGCGCTCAGTTCAAAGTGGATGCTCTCCGTCTGGTGCTGCAGGAGCATGACACCGACCACTCCCAGCAGGGAGCCTTCTCATTGCACTGCGAGGCAAATTAAAACACAAAAGCTTCCAGAGATTCCGTGTGTTTGAGGTCGAGGCCGAACCGCAGTAGAGACCGAGCCGAAAAACCAGGAATGTAGATTAAGTCACATAGAAACCAGCCGTGCTCTGAATGCCGTGTGCAGAGACTTTGAGTCACATAAAACCCTGCAATGTCTTTGTATGGTAGAAGTAGTGTGCAAGTTCTGCAGGAATGTGTAGAATTATTGCGCAGATGGAATGAAATGCTATAAAAGATTGGGATATAAAATTAAAAAGTCCGCATTTCTGATTTACCAGGATAAGGAGTTGTTATGATCACGATAAACCAAACGTGACAAACCTGTTTCTATACGGTGAGTCTCGCTTGTGTCCTACGTCGCCTTAACCTGAGTTTAAGTATTTTCAAATACTTAAAAGGACTCGCCCTCAGGCCTCGAGGGAGGATACTGATTAACAGGAAGATTAAGACTAATTATATTGATTAAGACAATTATAATTGCGATGCAATTATCGACTCACCTGACCAGTTGTGGATCGTCCTCCTGACGTGAACTGAAAAAGAAAACTGTACTTCCTGTTACGTGATTGAGATACTTACCTGAACTCTCGCTCTGACCATCCGTCTGCTGTCACACCCCCCCCCCCCCCCATTGAGATCCACTACTTCCTGGCGGGGCAATAATAACTCCTCATGCAGAAGACCAGAGAGATTTGGGAAATGCGTCAGATTCCCATGTGTGAGTAGTCGACAGGATTACACGCCCAATTAGTGAGCTGGATTGTCTGTAATAAAGCGCCCCCCCCCCCGCAGGATAAGGTTCTTCCAATCCACAGGAACATTAGTTGGCTGAATCTGGTGGATTCTTCATGAGAGCTATTTGATTCTGAGACATTTCAACAAAAGCGCATGAGCTCGCATTGAAGATCCGATTTGTCTTTGTTTCACATTCTGAGGATGCGTGTCACATGATCAGTGGAGGAAGCTTTAAAGCTCATGTTTTATCCCTTTTATTTAAATCGTTTTATTGATATTACAACGTATTCCGATGAAAAGGAGAACACTGCTACCTCAGTAGGGTGAGGATTAACAGGATATTACATTCAGTTGGGTATCACTTGGAGGTAGGTAACTAACAAACACACACACAGCTCTGAGGAGAGATGAGTTGTAGGCTGGATACGACGTAGGCAGAAGATCCTCAAACCAGCCGCAATACCAACACAACAAATGTAAAAAAGTGAAACGGCAAACAGCACCATATAAATTAAAGAAATATATATATACATGTGTACACACACACCTACCCATCCCCCAAAAACAACAAAACCAAAAGTAAAAAGGGGGTGTGTTGAAGTCTCTTCAAAGGAGTCACTGGAATCTCTAAGTGAGAATCTGATCTTTTACGTCGTTTAAGATCTCAATCAACCAACCGTTACGTGAATGCGGGAGAGCGTGTTGCCACCTGAGTAGTATGAGGCGTCTAGCTAGGAGTGTCGTGAGGGCCAGGATGCGTCTTCCTGTTGACTGCAGATCAACGACTCCAGGCGGCTGGGTGCCGAATACAGCTATGAAGGGCACGGGGTCTAGTTGTGTGCCTAGTACTGTCCCAAGTGTTTTGGAAATTTGATCCCAGAACTTTTGGGCATGACCAAAACATATGGGTGTGGTTGGCGGGTGACAGTTTGCACCTTTTGCAGCGGTCATTCTTATAGTATAGTGTCCACAAAACAAAACTTTGCATTGTAGTGGCCCATGTCTCGCACAAATAGAGGAGGAGTGGGATAGGGCCAGAGTGGGGGCCCAACGATAGTCAGATATTGGATTGCTGATTTCTCTTTCCCAGGTCTGTCTTAAGTGAGAGGTCTGATTAAGGGAGTGAATAAAACCATAGATAGAGATGCAGCATTTTTGCAAGGAACCTAGAGCAAGCTAGGAGTCATATTCAGGGGGGTGCTTAGGGAAGTGAGGGTATTCCGATTTAATAGTGTCTTATCTGTAGAAAACGGAAGAGGTTAGATTTAGGCAAGTCAAACCTAGATGACAGTCCTGTAAAATCCGTAAAGTCTCCATTGTCGTAAAAGTCCCTGATCTTACACAAGCCTCTGTTGCGCCAGACGCAAAAGATGGGGTCTGACACCGATGGTGAGAATGAGCCCAAAATGTTTACAGAATTGTACCCAAATTTTGAGAGAGTTAGTTACTATTGGATTTTCTGAGATCCCGTGGATTTCAAGTGGCAGTCGTGCCGTGATGAGGGATTGAAGGGAGAACTTGGAAGAGGATAACTCCAGTTGGGCCCACAGAGGGCTGTCCCTTGGCCCATTATCCATCCAGCAATGCAGTTTTTCAATGTTAATTAGTAATGTTTTACCCCTTTTAAAGTGTGTTGGCAGAGTTGTGCCCATAATCAGATTATTAAATAAATAAATAACAATAGAGTAGTTATAGTATTTTTGTTACCAGGAATATAAATTCACCAGCTTAAAAACAATTTAAAAAAGAGAATTTAGATCGACAAAAGCATCATTATGCTCCCAATACTTGGGAAAAGTAGATTTTTAGGTCTTTAAACACTTGAATGTGTTGATGGAGGTTTCTTGATATTTTTTTTATTGTTTCAAATAAATAAACAATTAAAAGAAAACCGCATTTTGAGACACGTCTTTGCATATTTGCACCTGCTGCCATAATGACATCATTTTGATTCCTTTTCCATCACTGAGACAAAGTGCCAAAGAGCGATCAGCCCTCTGACGCCCGTCACCGGGGTCCGCTGTTTGAGGAGCAGGAACAGAGATCTGAACCGGACGCGGAGGAGTCAGAATCTTCGTTCACGACCTGCAGCCCGGTTCCCTCCTCCCTCGCCATAATCCCGCGGCGTTGGCGGCAGCTCCGTGATCCGGGGTCGCTCAGACGGGACACAATGGCTGCACTGTGCTCCCCTCGCCACATTGTCCCCGCCCCCCTCTCCCCCCTCGCCGCAGGCACAATGAGGGCCTTCACCACACAGGACAGAGCCGCTGTCAGGTGCTCTTTTTACCCCGAGAGAGTCCTCTCACAAGCCTCATTTCTAAAGAAGTATTGCTATATTTCATAGAGCCACAACATTTCTTTCTTGTTTAGTGAAGCCTGGGGTTGGAAGTAGAGCAGCTCTGCATCTCGATCCTCGGGAGATATTTGTTAGTCAGTACATCAAACGCAAGTACAGTGCATCAGTACGTCGAAGCGATGTTTGGGTCTCTTCGGACCTTTTTTAGAAAATGAGTTCCCGTGTTCTGCCCCCGCTGCGAGGAGCGCCTGGGGGGCTGAGACGATCTGATGAACCGATTCAAAAAGCTTCTCCCCAAAGTGCACCAGAATGAATGGATTCCTGACCTCGACTTTTCTTTATCGCAATCTTATGAATATAACCAATACATACCTAAGATATATTATTTTCCAATTAGTTTCTAATATAGACTTTATTCCTTATTGCTATACCATGATGTATCCATCAGTGTTTTACGTCTAAATCTGTTCAAAAAATGTGGGGGGGGGGCCACAGGCAGACTGACAGACTCACTATAGCAGTACGTATTAACCCAGCTGGCAGTGTTTGGTCAGATTAGGATGTTTTGGGCACTCATCTTTTACAGAAAACCGCACATCTGGAGCGGATGAAAATTTCGTTTCGCAATCACAGAAACAAGTTCAGTATGTTCCTGAGATTTAGGACGGTGGAAAAGCACACTCACGTCTAAATACCACTTTTGATCTAAACGGGGTGGGGTGGGGGGTGTTTCCGGTGCTTCCAGCGGGTGGTTGTTAAATGACACCAATGCAGGTGTAAATTCCACTAAAGCGGCACGTTGATTGCCAGCCGAGATCCGGCCCTCGTCCAACGCTGCACGGAGCAGGTGGTTGCTTACAGGTTTGATCCCCTGAGACACTATTGATTTATTTGTTTTCTGCATTTCTGCAGGATTCGTCCACAGCTGGCCAGGGAGAAGATCGAGGGATGTCACATCTGCACGTACGTGATGCCCGGGGAGCCCCAGGTGATCCTGGGCAAAGACAAGTCCTTTACGTACGACTACATGTTCGACATGGACTCCCAGCAGGAGGCCGTGTACGCCAGCTGCACGGAGAAGCTGATCGAGGGCTGCTTTGAGGGCTACAACGCCACCGTCTTTGCGTATGGACAGGCGAGTCTTTTGTCCTCGTCTGTGTGGAGAGTGTTGACGTTTGGGTGAAAGGAGACCTCGACCCCAGTGGGAAAATGGAAAATGAAAAATGAAAGAACTCCAGCAAGGAAAGGGAGGGCTCAGAGAGAGCAGAGTGGTACCCCTCTCTCACTATTAATACAGTACACTGGCACCAACCAGTGTACTTGTACACTGTACTCTAAAGATTTTAGAAAATAAGCTGCCGGTTCATGTGACCTGAAAAGAATCCACTCCTGAGTTACTCCCTCTTCTCTTCCCCACCCCACACGGGAATAACGTGCACGTTCAGGCCTCAAAGCCCCCCGCCCCTCCTCCTCCTCACTGCTACAGTTGCCTTGGCGACCGCTTCTGCTGCATGGCACTCAATTCTAAAGGAAGTGAAGCGCGCGCACACACACGCACACTTTTTTTTTCTTTTCTAGACAGCGATGCATTTTTAATGCGTGTCCACATTAATCTGTATCTCCCCAGTAACGGCTTCCTGTGGCTCGGTTTGGCCTCGATACGACCCAATCGCCGCCGTGGCTTTACTGGGACTAATCTAGGTTTAGAGATAAAAATACAATTAAATCAAACCCCAGATCCATGCAATGTCATCTTTAGGGGATGTGACAAGGCATTGTGGGAAAGAATCTTCTTCCTTTACGGCACATTGTAGGCGTCATTAAAAACGTGTCTCTTGTTTATTTTTGTCTCTAAAGACGGGCTCCGGGAAGACCTACACCATGGGGACGGGCTTTGACATGAACATCACTGATGAGGAACTGGGCATCATCCCGCGCGCCGTGCACCACCTCTTCAGGGGCATCGAGGAGCGGCGCCGGGCGGCGCAGGAGCAGGGCCGCCCGGCGCCCGAGTTCAAGATCAACGCCCAGTTCCTGGAGGTCCGAACAGAAAGGGGAAATGATTAAGTGCAGTGACACCGGAGGGGTTTACATGGCATCTTCACTACCATTATCATTGTTTAATTATGACGTACGGGCGGTTTGTCTTCTTCCTGCAGCTCTACAATGAGGATGTTCTGGACCTGTTTGACTCCACGCGAGACATGAAGCAGAAATCGCACATCAAGATCCACGAGGACGCCGCTGGGGGAATCTACACCGTGGGAGTGACCACGCGGGCCGTGTCCTGCGAGGCCGAGGTGTGTGCGTGTGCGTGTGCGTGTGCGTGTGCGTGTGCGTGCGTGCGTGCGTGCGTGCGTGCGTGCGTGTTGTTTTTCTTCTCCCACAGCTGTATCGAAAGGATTTTACGAGTTAATATGAACTTGTTCTCGCTCTGTGCCCGTTCAGATGATGCAGTGCCTGAAGCTCGGTGCTCTGTCCCGCACCACGGCCAGCACTCAGATGAACGTCCAGAGCTCCCGATCGCACGCCATCTTCACCATCCACCTGTGCCAAGTGCGCGTCTGTGCCTCCGACAATGTGCGTACGGTCTCGTCGCCTCTCTGCTGTTAATGTTGCAGAAATTTTGCCGTGCATTTAACTTTTTTTTCCTGTGTTTTCGTCCGCTCAGCAAGAAAGCGAGAGCAACAACAGGGTGTCCAACGGAAACTCTGAGGTGGACGAGTACGAGACGCTGACGGCCAAGTTTCACTTCGTGGACCTCGCCGGATCAGAGAGGCTGAAGAGGACCGGGGCGACGGGCGACCGGGCCAAAGAGGGCATCTCGATCAACTGTGGCCTGGTGAGCTCCCCCCCACACCTCCCTGCTCAGCGAGGTCACTCAGGGAGGTGGAGCTAGACTGCCACCTAGTGGCTGAGTCCCATAAATGACCAGCGTTCATGGCTGCACAATCTAGACATCAAGTATAGTTTAACTTGTAGTTACTAATAACTAAAGTTACTAATAAGGGCACAGAAGACTATAAAACCCATTTGGTTATTGATAGAAACCATCAGGAGTAAACTTCCATCCCATTGAACCACGTTTCTCCTCTTTGCTGCAGCTCGCTCTGGGGAATGTAATCAGCGCTCTGGGTGACCGCAGCAAGCGCTCCTCTCACGTGCCTTACAGGGACTCCAAACTGACCCGCCTACTGCAGGACTCGTTAGGAGGGAACAGGTGGGTGGTCACCTCTGCTCACGTTTTTCCTCAAGTAGCGTCTCGAAAAAGCTCTGCTTTGCTTCATTTTCATGCATGCGTCTTGTTTCAAAGTGCACATTGCAATGTGACGGTACTAACATGCAGCAACGTGCCTCATCAGCCAAACAGTGATGATCGCCTGCATCAGCCCGTCCGACCGGGACTTCATGGAGACGCTTAACTCGCTCAAATATGCCAACCGGGCGAGGAACATCAAGAACAAGGTGATGGTGAACCAGGACAAGGCCAGCCAGCAGATCAGCGTCCTCAGGACGGAGATCGCTCGCCTGCAGATGGAGCTGATGGAGTACAAGACGGTAAGAGCAGTTAAAGAGAATAAATATATATATATATATATATATATATATATGGAAAAAAATGTGTCAGAAAAAACAGCTGAGCCCAGGCCCCGCCTCCCTGCAGGGTAAACGCCTGACGGGCGAAGACGGCGCGGAGAGCTTCAGCGACATGTTCCACGAGAACTCCATGCTGCAGACAGAGAACGGCAACCTGAGGGTTAGGGTGAAGGCAATGCAGGAGACCATCGACGCTCAGAGGGCGCGGCTCACCCAGCTGCTCAGCGACCAGGCCAACCAGACCATCACCAGGGCGGGTGGGTCACCCTTGCCTTTCTTACATCATTTTTAATCCTCAAAGCTCCATCTTGATGCCGCTCATCTGTGAGGCTGCAGCGAGTACCGCTTTCCACCAAGCGGTACGGTACGGGTCGGGTCGGTACCCTTTTATTTGTGTCTCCACTGCCAAAAGTTGAGAATGGTACCAAAAATCCGAACCGTACCGTACCACTTTTTGGGTACCCTTCCGTTGGGGTACCTGGCACAGTTGTTTGGTACTAAAGGGTGGAGCTAGACTCACTGCAGAACGTTGATTGGTTGTTGGCGGTGGAAACGCTCGCCAAATCATAGTTAACAGACCCGACCCGACCCGTATCGTACCATACCGCTCGATGGAAACGCGTCATAAAATCCCCAAAAATGAAGGTCTTTATTCTCTTTCCAGGTGAAGGGGCTTCTGAAGAAATCGGAAACATGATTCACGGTTACATCAAAGAGATTGAAGATCTCCGGTAAGTAGATTATGCTGATGCTAGCTCTCCCCCAATTCAATTCTATGTACACTTTATACAGTAATACTTCATTATAAACCATACTGGGGGGAGGGGTTGGTGTGTGTGCCCCAAAAGTTTACTTTTCGGGGATGATTGTGATAAATTTTATTCATTATTTAATCACAACAATAAAGTTAGAGAGAGACATGGCTTCATTTTGGACTTTGCTGTTTAAATGTCACACAGAGCCAAACTGCTGGAGAGCGAAGCCGTGAACGAGAACCTGAGGAAGAATCTGTCTCGCGCCTCCAACCGGCAGTCCCTGTACGGGGCCCCCTCGCTGCTGGCCCCCGAGAAAGAGACCTCTGACATCATCGAGCTTGCCAAGAAGGACCTGGAGAAACTGAAGAAGCGAGAAAAAAAGAAAAAGAAAAGGTACCGATACTTTGGACAAACAAATCAAATGGATTGGATGTGTTGCTGCAGATGAAAACGTCTCCGTGACTGTTGGGATTTTTATTGTGAAAAACCTATTTAACACAGTTTAGTGTTCGTGATGATGTGTCCTAGTGCTGATAAGCGTGTGTTACCATCTCAGTTGTGTTGTTGTTGGGCGCTGTAGAGGTGGATGAAAGCTTCCTGGGATCATTGTTCCCTCCATTCTTCCTTCTCTCCGTTCATCTCTCGCTTCCTTCTCTCGTTTGACCCCTTCACTCGACCCCCGAAGACTCCAGCATCTGTTGGAGGAGAGAGAGCGGGAGGAAAGGGAGGAGGAGGTGGAAGAGGTTGATGACGCCAGGTTTGTCTGAGCTTCCAACCTCCCCATCCTCTGCTTACCCCGAGTCAGCAGTTTTATTTTACGTTTTCCTTATTTTGCGCAGGCGTTTCCCCCCACTTGGAGTGAGCGTGTATATCTATATATATCTATATATATATAGATATATATATATATATTGACCTCTTATCACTCTTTAGATCTTTCCTGTAAACCCCTCCGCTCATTCTTTAAACCATCACGCTGCATCCCTGCTTTCTTTTTCCTTTTTGGAAAGATTGAAGCTCACTACAGTTCAGATCAGGCCTCCAGGGAGATGACGATGACACTCTGATCCTTTTATTTCTTAAGATCCTTCTATTTAGATTATTGGTGTTAAAGGTTTTAGACTCTCCAAAAAATAGTTGTAAGTTTGAGCATGCAGGTCACATATGAAGCTGTTCTTTTACATTTTGGTCATCTTAACCAGGGGAGTTTGGGCACATCATTGCTGCCCCTGCTAGGTGTTTGGATAAATATGAATCCAACACACACTTTATTAATCCCTCCCTAATTCCCTCCCTGCTTCATTTTGCTTTTCCTGGTTTTGTTCGGACTTGGGAAGCCTCCGTACTTTGTCTTTTCCACAAACAATCTCACGAAAGCAGAGAAGCATTGTGTCTGTTTGAGGCACCAGCTTACGTCCATAAACAGTTTGTTTGTCAAAAAGACCTGATTACAAAATGTTCTCCCTGCCGACTAAACCCTGCAGATATTTAGCCGTTTAGTTCTGGTGTGTGAGCCTCAGACTCTCTGACACGTCTGAATCTTTCAGTGCCGGCAAGGAGGAGGTTCCCGACAACGAGCAGGAGAAGGGCGCTGAGAAGGAATCCACCGAGCGAGTCCCCGAGGAGGCAGACACTGTATGATTGTTGTTTCACCTTTTTACGCCATAAAAAGAAAATGCATTGAGTAGTGCCTCAGCATGTTAAAGCGACAGCGTGTCATCCCGCAGGAGGTCCAGGAAGGCAGCGACCATGAGGAAGGAGAGGAGGAAGAGGAGGAGGAAGAAGAGGAGATGGACGTGGAGGAGAGCTCTGATGATTCCGACTCGGAGACGGATGAAAAAGGTAAGTGAGGTGGGGGGTGGGGGGGGGTCTGTTTCACCACAAGGGGGAGCTGCTCCACCAGTAAGCAGCAAACATGATTATATAATAGAACGGGAGTACATAAAATAGTTATTCAGTAAAATGAAACATGCACAATGCCGAAAGTATAAAAACACTTCTTAGCCGTAATATTGCAACGGGAAACCCTTTGCCTGGTTTTCATTTAAAACAAATATTGACCACGTGTTGAAATGATTTCAAAGATGAATTTGCGTCTTTTCACACAGAGAACTTCCAGGCTGACCTGGCCAACATCACCTGCGAGATCGCCATCAAGCAGAAGCTGATTGACGAGCTGGAGAACAGCCAGCGGCGGCTGCACACGCTCAAGCAGCAGTACGAGCAGAAGCTGATGATGCTGCAGTGCAAGATTAGGGACACGCAGCTGGAGAGGGACCGCGTGCTGCAGAACATGAGTAAGAGCTCCACCATTTACCCTCTCGGGATCTGAGGACACAGAACCGCCTCCACCGGGCGCCTCCGGGCTTTTTGATGAGTTTATTTCAGACTTAAAACAGAGTACATTTAAGTTCTCGCGTGTCCTACTTCCATCTGGGAGAATTTATATCTCAGCTTTTATGTTTGATCTAACCATTTAATCTTTGCTTTCGAAAAAAAAAAACGAGGTACTTCAGAGGATCCTTCAAAGATGACAGCCAGATGGATCAAAGCGGCGCTGCATGCAGATTCTAAAAGGACGAGGAGTGTTCAGCTCTCCTTATTAGAAACAAGAACAAAAAGCACACAAAAGAGACTCTTTGACGACAGCAGATCAAAGTTTTAAACCATTACAGAAAAAAAGGCAAATATCAGTTTTCCGTGCACACTTTTCAGATACAGTCGAAACCGGCACGGACGACAAGTCGCGCAAGATCAAGGCCGAATACGAGAAGAAGCTGAGCGTGATGAACAAGGAGCTCCAGAAGCTGCAGTCGGCGCAGAAGGAGCACGCCCGCCTCCTGAAGAACCAGTCGCAGTACGAGAAGCAGCTGAGGAAGCTTCAGGTGGACGTGGTGGAGATGAAGAAGACCAAGGTGGGTCACGGCATGGGACGCTCACCGTCGTCAGGGAGGATTCTAGAAGTTGAGCTGTGTGTGGGTGGGTGGGTGGTATCAGTGCCCCACATGGTCTGATGTGGTGTTCCAGGTCCGCCTCATGAAGCAGATGAAGGAGCAGCAGGAGAAGAACAGGATGAACGAGTCTCGGCGAAACCGAGAGATAGCGTCGCTGAAGAAGGACCAGCGCAAGCAAGAGGTTCTTTTTGGGTTTTTTAACTGCACTTTAATCCGATCGGGGAGTTTCAGTCGCCGTCACCTGACTGTGGTTGACTCCCCGCTGCGTTACAGCACCAGCTGAAGCTGCTGGAGGCTCAGAAACGGCAGCAGGAGCTCATTCTGAGGAGGAAGACCGAGGAGGTGAGCAGCGTCGGAACAACACATGTGGCGTCCCCGCCCCCCCCGTTACACTTGTTGATTTGTTTTTCCCCGCGTGCGTCGTGCGTCAGGTGACTGCTCTGAGGAGGCAGGCCAGGCCCACCTCCGGTAAGGTCATCAGGAAAGAGGCGGTGCAGGACTCCAGCTACAGACCTCCATCCGGACGCCTGTACTCCTCCGGTAACGCTGCTCCCAATGGCACGCGGTGGGTCTCTCTCTCTGTGTGTGTGTGTGTGTGTGTGTGTGTGTGTGTGTGTGTGTGTGTGTGTGTGTGTGTGTGTGTGTGTGTGTGTGTGTGTGTGTGTGTGTGTGTGTGTGTGTGTGTGTGTGTGTGTGTGTGTGTGTGTACGATCCTCTTTGCACATTCTCCATGATGGATAGGAATACATAACGTGTTTATGCATGTGGTGTGCGTGCCTGCAGGTCGTCCTACAGGCGCACAGTGGGGATTTACTCCACCAGAATCGCACGCAACAAATGGCAGTCTCTAGAACGCCGGATCACTGACGTCATCATGCAGAGGATGACCATCTCCAACATGGAGGCCGACATGAACCGCCTCCTCAAGGTAAGGCTGCGCCAGCAACTTGTGTTACAACCAGTGTCATCGGCTTCTGACCTCGGATCTGCCGCCAGGGGCAGAAAAAGGGTGAGGCCTGAGGTCTGCGTGTTTTTTGTTCCTTAGCAACGGGAGGAGCTGACCAAGCGCAAAGAGAAGGTCATTAGGAAGAGGGACCGTCTGCTCAGGGAGGGCCCCGAGGCGGAGAAGGCGGCACTTCCGCTCAACGAGGAAGTGGATGCTTTGACGGCCAACATCGACTACATCAACGACGGCATCGCCGACTGTCAGGCCAACATCATGCAGATGGAGGAGACCAAGGTGGAGAACGGAAAGGAGATTCACTCGCACGCTGGATATGAACTCGCTGATGTTTTTCTTTTCTCTGTTACAGGAGGAAGGCGACACGGTGGATATTTCCGCCGTGGTTAGTTCCTGCACGCTGACGGAGGCGCGTTTCCTGTTGGATCACTTCATGTCAATGGCCATCAACAAGGTACCTGATGAAGATCATGCCACTGCATTTAGACATTCAATCCACATCATGATGATGTAATTTACTGGAGTCGGTGTTGTCGTGCATGATCGGTGTTGTCGTGCATTATGTCCTTGTTTTGACCTCCTCAGGGCCTCCAGGCCGCCCAGAAGGAGTCCCAGGTGAAGGTGATGGAGGGTCGGCTGAAGCAGACTGAGATCACAAGCGCCACGCAGAACCAGCTGCTCTTTCACATGCTGAAGGAGAAGGCCGAGTTCAACCCGGAGCTGGACGCGCTGCTGGGGAACGCGCTGCAAGGTGACCTCCGCGCCGTTAGTTCGTCAGTCCGGGTTGAGTTGGAAGTGAAGATGAGCTTCAACCCGGCCCGCCTCCTGGAAGTGTTCTTTAGGTTTATGTCAAGTACAACTGGGCTTCAGATTTAATTCATGGAATATGTTTCCCTTCCACAAATGGATTCGGTTAATTTGCCACTTAACATGTTCGTTACAGATCATTGGGCCTTTCAAGGCGTCCTGCGGGTTCTTGTCCTGTTGCATGATGGGATTTATTGCTCTTGCCTGTTGCCTTCTGCTGAACAGAAGCTGGTCGTTATTGTAAATCTAGTACATATCTATTTCCCAGCCTGTGTTCAGCCGGACGCTCGGTTTACAGAAGCGGCACTTTATTTTTTTTAGTCTGTTTTTGATTTGTGTATTGCTTTTTTTTCTGTTCCCCCACGTTTTCCTCTTTTTGTTTTCTTGTCCTCTCCCGTCCTTGCAGAGCTAGGTAACGTCCCGGCCGGTAAGTGAAACCATCACTCCCCGTTTCATAAAGAAACTGGCTTTATGAACGCATGGTTCCTTCCCCCTTTTTTTGCACTTTTAAAAAGAAACAACTAACGCAACATAACATGGAACAGGTGCATGCGGTGCGACCCCGCCCCCAACACACACAACCCTCCACTCCCCCCTCGTCTGGATCCTCTCTTCCTCCTCCTAGCTCCTCGTGTGCTGCAGCCTCCATGCTTTAGCACCCTGCTAACCCGAGACCCTTCCACAGGCCCAGCGCGGATGCTGTAGGTCACCTGACCCCTCCCTCCCCCACATCTGGAGCAACAGACTAATGATTCCTCTTACTACGCATCATCTCTCGCTAACTCGCCACACCTGGCCTCACTCTGACCTCTGACCCCTCATTTTCATCCATGTGACCGCGACTATGCTGCGTGAGGATGAAAGTGTCAGCATGGCTCCGCGCTGACTCCGCCCTCATCCGCTCCCCTTGTTCATCCTTTCTTCACCCGTTTTGAGCAGCTTTTTTTTATTTCAAGTAAAAATCTCCTCTCCCTTTAGAGGAAAAGAGCAAATTGATGAATTATTGAGATGGAGGAGAAGCGTTTTAGAAAGTGATAAGCAGATGTCTCGGTCTCGCCGGCCCAGCGAAGTTCTCCAAACTTTAATATTATTTATTGATATCATTTGACAGAGAATGGAGATGATAGCAGCAGTGATGAGTCTGCTCAGAGCCCGTCTGCAGAGGGAACGTGAGTTGCATATGCGTCTTACCACTTATATTTTATGTTTTTATGTTTGGTTTTTCTGCTGCTGTTATGTGGTGTCATCGGCTACACGTTTATTTTGTTTGATGTTTGTTATCTTGCACATATACAGATTTTTATTCTAGAACTATGAAGCAAATTCTCAAACTAAATCAATATGAACATAAGGCCGTATGAAGAATTAAGCTGCCCTATACCTTAGATTTAAAGAGCAGGTTATAATCTAGAAGATAAACCATTTACCTCAAATAATTACCTTCATTTCAATCATATATATTATTAGCGTAAATAATTACTTACAGCATAACTGAACTATTTCCCTTAATGTTATATTATATTTACACACATGATGCAACTGCCCATTTAGCTGTGCAAACACTTTTTATTCATGTACTACGGTGTGTTTGTGACATATTTCAAATGTTTGTTACCTTCTAGTTCCTCTACTCTGTCTTCTGACTAACACCAAATAACATCTTTTGTGTTCCCGTCAGCACCTTGACATCGGACCTCGTGAAGCTCTGTGGAGAGACCAAATCAAGAAATAAGGTGCTGCTCCACCTCTCACGCCTCGTTCTCTGCCTGCACCACTCCCCCTCCGTCCCCCTGGTTCCATCATCCATCTCTATTTCATCCTCGCCCTTAGGCTCGTCGGAGGACCACCACTCAGATGGAGCTGCTGTACGCCAACAGTGACTCCGCCCCCGACGCGCCCACTGCAGACTTCCCGGGCCCGCTGCTGCTGCCGTTGGCCGAGGCGGCGGCGGACGGGGGAGGTGACGTGGACTCGTCGGGCTCATCGGTCAGGGACTACGCAGCTCTCTCCCCCGGCTTTTCCTCTAAAATGGGCAGCATGTAAGTCCAGGCCCGGCACTCTGTGGCTAACACGTCCTTCCTTCCCTCTTTCCTTCCTGCACGTTTGATGTTGCTGCTACGTCCTCTGCTTTAGTTCATTCCATTTCACATTATTTCTTAGCATCCTTGCATCAAATGACCCTACCCCCCTTCAGCCAATGAGTCCTTCGAGGTAGAAGCATGTGGAGAGGAGGCGATAATAACATCTGGATGGCTTATTTATTCTCTAACTCAGTGTTGTGCAGAAATACTAATGGACTGCTTCAACTGGCTACACTTAGCCAAGAGAAAGTAATCGAAATATAGACTTTAGTCCACACAGTAAACATGATCTCGGCGGAGAACCCCCCCTGTTTTGGGACTTTAATTATCAGGTAACATGTGTTTCTGTGTGCTCCATGCTCATCTCTTCATTGACTCCATCATTTCTACTTTGTTTTCACATCCTTCCCGTTGTTTTTTTGTTTTGTTTTTTGTGTGCTGTCCCTGTGTTGTCTGTGGATAACCGTAATCAACCTGAAACAATCAGTTCTGGCTCCAGAACTTCATCTGGGCTGGAAAAGCGAACTCCGGAGCCTTCCCCACTCGCTCGCAGGAAGACCTACGACAAGGCGGCGGCCGACAGGGCAAAGGTCAAGGAGATTAAACAGTAAGAGGTCGGGGAAAGCCAAATAACTAATGCTCACTAATACTCCTCCTGCTTTGAGGAAGCTCCTGGATTCTCTGCGCCTGGTGGGATGACCTTTGACCTGTGCTGAATTTTAGTTTATTGAGGAAATCCCAGTTTAATCTCTTTCGTGTCGAATTATTGAAAAATATAAAATGATCCAATACTGGAAGGCAATCAATGGTCTGGTCTGCAAGCTTAGTGGTAATTATACTATTGGCATGACTCCTGTGCACGTTTAACTCTGTGCACGTCAACTGCTTGTTCACTTCACCCACTACTTTAAGCTTTGCGTGCAAAGGCTGAAAATGTGTCATGTAAATACCTTTATGATTTATTCACTTGCATACAACAAATAAAACGTGAAATGTTTAAACCACCAGCACACTTTAAATGAAGGAACTCTTTTAGGCCTCAGCATTTATTCTCATCCATCCGTGGTGCATTACAGCCTCGCATGAGCTTTATTTGGATTCAGGATGCTTCGATAAAACCTATCACTATGCAGGTATTTTATTCATTTCAATTTTTTATGTTTCCCTGAAACGAGGCGATTAGGTACTTTTCAAATGGAAAAGACAACCTTTATATTTCCCTTGTGAGTCCCAGCAGCTCGACTGGACGACGTCTTCATATATAAATGCCGTTTGGTAAACCTCAGTAAGGTCTGGCTCGATCTGGTCTGAGGGCGGGAACACTTTCCTCTCCCAGAGGACCTGAATGCAGCATATGCTTCTGCCCCGGCGCCGTCCTCCCGCCAGGCGGCCTGAACAGCTTGGTGCCGCGCTTTAATTAAGCGTGAGGCCCACATTTACACCCTGATGTGAGATGTTGGTGCGTAAAGATACAACAACGAGCTCCATGTTGCATTCCTCTGATTTTGATAACGTTGTTGTGAAAAGTAGGTTCCTAAATGAGCTCTTCTTCAGGTCAAAGGCAAAACGAGAAGTGTTTTCATTTTTTTCTTCTTGTCGTCAAGGCATCAACCCTTTATAAAAACACCGGGACCGGGTTTCAAATCATCAAAACGGATCCAGAAAAAGATCCAGATGTTTTAGAAAGGCTCACCGTTCTTGTGGTGCCTCTGCGCCGTATCCGATACTAAATGATTAAAGGGACGTGGTTAAGCACACGAAGCGATCGGTGTTTGACTCTGCAACCTCTCCGGGATATCGGGTCCTCTCTTCCCCTCCAGGGAGAACGGATGCCTCCACCTGTCCTCAGACCACCTCGTCCGCTCGGCCTCCCCTCCGCTCTCCCATCTATCAAAGTACGACCTTCTGTTATGCTCACTGAGGGATCACTGCTGGGGTGGATTTCTTTTCCCTTGGGGGCAGTTCAACCGCTACACTAACCGGACATGAACACTTCATGGACACTCTTCTCTCTCCAGAGGGTGATTACGATTAACCCCAAACAGTGTCGTCCAGCCTGAACCCACAACAACCGGCTTCCTCTCTGCGGCACAGTAACTGGTGACGTCACTGGGTCCCTTTTCTCTGTCTCCTCTCCCTATTTTCCATCCGCAGCATCGTGCTCATCGGCCACTCTGGTTTTGTGTGTGTGTGTGTGTGTGTGTGTGTGTGTGTCAAGTCAAGTCATTTTATTTTGTATAGCCCAAAATCGCAAATTACAAATTTGCCTCAGAGGGCTTTACAGTCTGTACACATACAACATCCTCTGCCCCGAAACCCTCCATCGGCACAGGAAAAACTCCCCAAAAAATGAAAAAAAAACCCTTACAAGAGGGAAAAAAGGGAAGAAACCTTAGGGAGAACGTCAGAGGAGGGATCCCACTCCCGGGATGGACAGACTACAATGGATGCCATGTGTACAGAATGAACAATGTATAATCATGCAATTCCTATGACAGAAATGATTCAAGTAATTGTGAGTAGTAAGCCAGGCGCACAGCAGGACCACTGCAGGGGCAACCACCATCAGATAGAACCACCATCACATAGAACCACCATCAGATAGAACCACCATCCACAGAATCCTGTGGGGAGGGAGAGCACAGAGACTTTAGGAGAGGGTAATGTCGGTTTATGAGTAAAGTAATATGATTAATATCTAAAATAATGATGATGATGATGATGGCAGCAGCAGGCGTCAGCATGGCCACTGTAGGTGTCAGGACCAGGGTCCCGAAGGAACCACGATCTACGGAGACCTGATAGGGGAGAAAGCACACAAAAATCTCCCGGAAAGAAGCTGAATTAGTCATGTGCATTAATAAAACTTGAATTATGGTAGAACGAGAGCGTGAGAGAGGAGCTCGGTGTGTCCTAAGAATTCCCCCGGCATTCTAAGCCTATAGCAGCTCAACTAAGGGCTGGTCCGGACTAACCTGAGCCAGCCCTAACTATAGGCAGAATCAAAGAGGAACGTTTTAAGTTTTACTTTAAAAGAGCTGACCGAATCTGCCCCCCGGACTGAAAGTGGAACCTGGTTCCACAAAAGAGGAGCTTGATAACTGAAGGCTCTGGCCCCCAGCCTACTTTTTAAAACCCTAGGAACAACAAGTAACCCAGCATCTATGGAGCGCAGTTGCCTTGTAGGGCAATACGGTGTTACAAGCTCTTGAAGATACAACGGTGCCTCACCAGCAAGTGCCTTGTAGGTGAGGAGAAGTACCTTAAAATCTATTCTTGATTTAACAGGGAGCCAGTGCAGAGAAGTTAATACAGGAGTGATATGATCCCTTTTCTTAGTTCTTGTTAATACACGTGCTGCAGCATTCTGAATCAACTGGAGAGGCTTAAGAGATTTATAAGAGCAGCCCCTGATAACAAAGAATTACAGTAGTCCAGTCTGGAAGTGACAAACGCATGAACTAATTTTTCTGCATCACTTTGAGACAAGAAGTTCCTGATTTTTGATATGTTACGTAGATGAAAATAGGCAGTCCTTGAAGTCTTCTTTATATGCGAGTTGATGTGTGTGTGTGATTGGTGCTTCGCTCAGATACTAGTGCGGTGTCTGATGGAGTTGTGTGTGTGTGTCTGTTCACAGGGGCATCATCAGTCCAGTGCCTCCCACTAAAGGCAGTCGCTCCTCCACACTGCAGTGCGTCCATGTGGCGGAGGGACACAGCAAAGCCGTGCTCTGCGTCGACTGCACCGATGACCTCCTGTTCACCGGATCCAAAGGTCGAACAGCCACATTCCGGCCCTGCATCCTCCCTTGACCCTGTCCGTCTCATCAGCATTGCTCTCTCGTCTGCTTCTCACGGCAAATTTATTAAGCGTCTGACATGCTGTTATGCTTTAATACAAGGACCAATCAAGGCTGACGGGGATAAATTTAGATTGTCATGTGCGCCGTGTGCGGATAAATGAGCTGACGGGATGAAGCGATATTGTTCGTACGGCTTAACTCTCCTGGTGAGGGAGTTTTTATGATGATAAATGGCAAATGTATCAGCAATCCACTGGATGGAAGTTGTCATCCTCTGATAAAGTGGCTTCTCTTTCTGACTTCTATTTTGTTTTTGTTGTCGACAAGATGTTTTTTTACTTAGCTGCATTTCCCATCAGTCTCCATCCTGAGTTACATTCTTTTGCTCCAGTATGAATTTCTGTATTCTAGTGTAGTCTTCAAATTGCCCCTTATTATGCTATTTTTCTTTCTTTTATCATGATTGTCTATCCTCAGTTCAAGGGCAACTCTCAAAGTCAGCAGAGTTCTATAAAAGCCGTCGTTGGCTTCTGACCTCTTCTGCACAAAGTTTTCCTTGTGTCCATCCTTTGTATCTCCACTCTTTGCTAGTCGTTGAGATGACTGTGTGTCTCCTTGCAGACCGGACCTGCAAAGTGTGGAACCTGGTGACGGGTCAGGAGATAATGTCCCTGGCCGGTCACCCCAACAACGTGGTGTCTGTGCGCTACAGCTCCAGTCTGGTCTTCACCGTCTCCACCTCTTACATCAAAGTCTGGGACATCCGGGACTCGGCCAAGTGCATCCGGATGTTGACGTGAGTGTGACGCTGCTTTTGGCAGGTTCTCTAGTAGCTCCGTGCATCAAGTGACAGAAGGAGCTCTGCCTGACTGAACTGAAATGATTTCAGAAGAAGTTATGTCATGTGATCTGTAATACCTGATTAATGTCACGTGTAAAATCCCTGAGTGAGCCGATTGACACACCTGTCTGCAGGTCCTCCGGTCAGGTTAACGTCGGGGACGTCTGTTCCTCCAACACCAGCCGGACGGTCACCATCCCGGCGGGAGAGAACCAGATCAACCAGATCGCCCTCAACCCCAACGGGACGGTTCTGTACGCCGCCGCCGGCAACTCCGTGAGGGTGTGGGACCTGAGGAGGTAAGCAGAGGGACCCAATAAAAGGTCGTCCTCCTAACTACTGTGGCCAGGGGGGTTTTAGACTATTAGGGAGACATCTTCTCAATTGTTTTGTAAATTATGATGCCGGAAAAGGTCTCTAAAGGAGTTTGGGGATCTCCTGATGCTTATTTTGTGCCTTCAAAAGAGATGTTTTACTTCTGCAGAGAGGAGGCCCAGCACGTAATCCTCCATCATCATTCCTGTCAGCCTGCGATGTGTTGTGAGATTAATGCTAAAATGCAGAGTGCCGATGTTATTACCATTTCTGCATAACCGACATTGTGAAATAAGTCACGGCCGAATTGAAAACCTGACTGGTGTCCAATCCGAAGCTGTCCCCGGTCTTTTGCAGACAGCACGCACACATTTTAATGAATTGTTCCTCTTCCTCAAAGAACATTTGATAATCAGCGGTCAAGATGACTAATAATAAATTTAAATAAGGCGAGAAGATTGAATGTTCCAAACTTTACTCCCAACCTTTTGTTTACCCTTTCGCTATGAAGACATTATGTTCCCGTCTTTGTCAGATTTGCATCGACGGGGAAGCTAACGGGCCACCTTGGCCCTGTGATGTGCCTGACTGTGGATCAGTCTGCGAGCAGCCAGGACCTGGTGATCTCTGGGTCCAAAGACCACTACATCAAGGTGTGTTTCCCCCTGGATCTACACCCAGCACACACTCCGAATGTTTCTTTAGAACACCATCGCTGTGAAGTGGATGAATAAAGAAATAAAGATGCATATGTTCTTGAGTGTAGAAAGATACTAAGAGTGTTCTGCCTGTTGCAGCTGTTCGACGTGACCGAGGGAGCTCTGGGGAGCATCGGCCCAACGCACAACTTTGAACCTCCCCACTACGACGGCATCGAGTCCCTGGTGGTCCAGGGGGACATATTATTCAGCGGCTCCCGAGACAACGGCATCAAGAAGTGGGACCTGGACCGCAAAGACCTGCTGCAGGTACTGGGCCGAGGTTTGGTGTTTGATTTGATGCTCTGCAGCCACGGACGTGCATTAAGAGAGCCGGGGCTCTCGCAGACCTGTCGTAAGGGTTAACACCTCTCAACCCGTCTCTCTGACAGCAAGTCCCCAACGCCCACCGTGACTGGGTCTGCGCGCTGGGCGTCGTGCCCGGCTCGCCGGCCCTGCTGAGTGGCTGCAGGGGAGGGGTGCTCAAGTTGTGGCACACGGACACGCTGGGGACTCTGGGGGAGCTGAAGGGTCATGAGAGCCCCATCAACGGGATCGCCACCAACAGCAGCCACCTCTTCACCGCCTCTGAGTGAGTAACCCGCGGCAACCGAGTGCACGCACAAGCCAAAAGTTCAAATGTTTGTCGAGCAAGACGACAGCCAAAGCTCGACTGAAACAATGTCCTCTCATTTTCTCTCTCGCCTTCCAGTGACCGGACCGTGAAGATCTGGCGTGCGCGCGGCGGGCTGGACAGTGCTCCAGAGGCAGCCGACGCCGGGGACGAGGTGACCAGCAACTGAGTTCCCCTGAAGCCTCTTTAGATGCTGCAGCCCTGCACTTTGACCCGTAACCCCCCCCCCCTGCACCTGCAATGTGACCTTTATGAGCCAGTCCCGTCTCACCACTTCGCTCAGACGCTCGGAGGGTCGGTGGCTGGTCCGCCCAACCCACAGCTCCAGTTTCTTGGGATTGTTTTTCTGCATTCAATATGCAAATGAGGCATGAAATTAAATACATGCTAATCTGCTTACATTTCCAAAATGATGATAACCAAACAAAAACCCTGTTAAAAATGCTTGTTTCATGATTATATGTTTGAGTCTAAGGTTTTTTCAGTAGTAATTTTCAATCAACGTGAAATAAGATTAATTACTGACATTAAGACATTATTTACTTTTGGTGAATTTAGTACAAATCTACGGCCGCAAATGGACGACGTAGTCAAATAAAGACTTTATAATAGAGGCAAATCATATAATTAGATTATAGAAGCAAAATAACCCCTAAAGGCAAAGTGTTTTTTTCCCTCGAGTGTCTCTCATTAAACAAACAAGTTCACTTGAGACACACTACCCCCCCACCCCCCACCCTCTCACTTTCAGTCTATATGTTAAACTAACTGGCTGCAGCTGTATCGATGTTGTCATGTAACTGTCAGAAAGCGAGCACGCCTCAACTAATCCTTTCCCTGTAATCCTTTCACTCTCGAGCACTTTTAGTCATTGACGTGCACTCGTCGTCCATGTGTGTGAAAGCGTAATTTCTCTGGAATCTTCTGGATCTTCACTTCGTCGTCTTAACGCTACAAGAGGGCTCCTCGTCGCGGACCGATCCTCAAGGATGGGGGTTGAGGTGTGGGGGGGAGGGGGGTCTCTCCGCTGACGTCACCATCCCCTCTGAATGTTCGCTGAGCCAGCAGTCCTTATTCAAGTACAGATCTAATGTGTGTAAACAATGTATTTAAACTAAATGAATGTTAGTTTTGTGGGACCACAGAGGGGTGATTTGGGAGGGGGGGGTGGGCACGGAGCTTCTGCTCCAATGATGTGGCAGATTGTGTTTAGATTTCTCACTCTTTCTTTCTTGGTTCCGTTTGTCGTCCCGGGCGTAACCTCTGGGGTTCTAGGGTCCCCTGACGGCGGACTCTGTAGCGATTCTAATGTCAGACGCCTCGGTGAGAATAAACGCTGTCTGGCAAAAACCAAACAACTTGTGTTTCTTCTTTCTTCTGTCACTCAATTATTGGTGCTGTCTCTCAATTAATTATTGATGCTGTGACTTTATCTGTAAGTCACTTATTTTATCTACCCTAAAATCAGATTCAGTATTTTCTTTGTTTCTCAACCTTTTTTTTGGCAAAACATTACTCCGAGGCCCCCTTTTAAGCTTTTATCAGCCGTATACAAATGGTTTATAGCACACTATGAGTGCTTATTGATGCACTGGATTAACCGCTATAACTCTATTATTACACCTTTCCTTACCCCCCCCCCCCCGGAAACCTGTGTTTGCTTTCCCACTTAGAAGGGGGACCACCAGATGGCAGTAGCGGCCCCTCCAAGACTGACCGTTAATCCTCGGATCTGTGCAAGAATTGTCTCGCTGACGTTTCAGTCATTCGGCTGATGAGTGTGTTGGTGCTGTAGTCCCCCCACTGACTCGTAGAATCACAAGCACTGACCCCCCACAGGGTCCGAGGGGGCTTGGCCCAGTTAGGTGTCCAGCCTCAAACACCAGAAACCAATCTCTGTGGGCTGGTTAACCTCTTTTTACCAGCAATAATTCTCCTGTTTAAGCCCAGTTGTCTGAGGATACTTTTTAATTCAATAAGATTTTCAATTACATTTTTTTTATTTTTAAGATTTTAAGTATCTTTCCGTGCACTAAAGTTCCAACATATCAACGCAAAACAATTCAATCAAAAGAAAACATCAAGTGCTGCCTGGCCCTGATGTTACTATTATTGTAAATCTAATAAATATATAATAACAGCTGCTCTTCATGAGTTTCTTTTTTTGTCTCTTTTACAAGACCCAGAATGTGAATAAATCATCATAAAATAATCATATTTCTTTGTGTAGCCTGATAATCAAAAGTTCTTTTCATGGGCTTAGTTGGGGGTTTGCTGTCTTGTCTTGATTTAAGAGTTAGGTAAGGGGGAAGCAGGATCTGCCAAGCAGGCAGACACGAGTCTGACAGGATGGGGAGTCAGTTTCTGTCCTGGCTGAGGAATGTAAGGTCTGCGGGTCAACTAGAAGATTTACCAGCCAAAGGGGGGTTAGAGACACACCAACACTATTCAACATACACACTCTGTTTACGATGTTTACGTTAAGTCAGGAGTCTGGACATTGGATGTGACCGGATCTTAGATGCGGGAGGTGGAAGGTCCTCCTCTACGCCAGTTTAGGGCCAATAGAAATCTTTCCTTCTCTGTCTTTCAAGGGTTATAAAACATGATGTTCTTGCTGATGTTAGTTAGTTGTTCTTCCGGCCTGTGTGCTGCCTGAACTGCTCCTGCCTTTGCAAACGCAGCGCTGATACTTGACCTGTGATCTGACAAATAAATTTTCCAGAACGAGAGAAGTCATTCGGCTGAATTTTTGATAACCCCGACCGGGCTCCAAATCTTGAACACGTATTCTTACAAGCCCCTTTCGTACACAAAAAGCAGCTTACAGGGATTTACTAGAAAGGAAAAAATAACGATGGAGGTAAAAATGATGACGATTTGAACACAATGTTCGATACAGAGAGCTGAACACAGGCCTTCCTGATTTAATACCTGGTCATCGAATGCGTATCATTTTTCAGCCACTTCAGAAGATCCTCCCTTACAGATGTGAGTAATACATCTTATATACCCATCTATCTCCCTGATATCTGAAGCCTCTTCACTCTGACCTCCGATAACCCCGCAGCATTCTTCCAAAACCATCGAACGGAACAGAAACCTCCCAAGTCTCAGATGTGAAGCTGCTGCAAAACCAGCCAGGAACCCCCCCCCCCCCGCTGAGACTTGGTGCAGCCGCTTAATGGGGGACTCGGGGAGGGGGAGGTGCATCAGGGTCTACTTCACAAATCTGACAGGCAGGACCAATCACCGGCCTCCTGGTGTGTGAGCGTGTGGGTGGTTGCGTCGGTTGAAATTGACCCAGACGACCCGGCAGAAGTTTTCACGGCAACTACAGAGAAGTCTTTGGATCGGCTCGTTTGGACAAGCCGTCACATGCTTCTTTCTCTCTCTCTCTCTCTCATCCAAGTCCATTAATCCTCATTTAAAAACAGCCCAAGCAGCTGTTTCTCAAGATGCAGAGATGTGCACTTCTCTGTGACTCGGGGCCTTGCTGCAGCTCTCCGCCGAGCAGATCCGCGCCCCCCTCCCTTTCTGAACCGAGTCAGCAGGAACTACACTTGAAAGACCCTTTTTAATACGGGACTGTGTGGAATCACACCTGGTGACACGCTGGGGCTTCGTTAGAGCCTCCGTGCCCTTTAATCAGCACAGGAATGAACTTATCTTTGTTTTGGACCTGAAAGTCGTTATCATTGTCTTTGTCGTGAAAGTTGTGACCTTTTGTTAAATGACTTGATTACTTTCCCTTTGATTGGGAACAAACGTAGCAGAAAATGTCAGTGTAGCAGCTATTTGATTAACAAATTCATTATTTCAGTCACTTTCCAGTATTTTAACATTTGAACTTTTATAAATGTGCGTATTTTGCTGCTTTTACGTGTCTGCTGTTACAATAAGTCAAACATCTTTTGGACGGTTGAAAAAAAATGCTTGATTATTTTAATAACTTTGGAAACTTCTGGATCTTTGGAGTTTAAACAAGGCACCACATGTGCTTGTAACAATGGATCCAGCGGCGGGGCCGAGGACGTTAACGCGTCGTGAAGAAGCTCTGCAGACTGTACTTTTCTGGATAATTAAGAGAAAGAGAGATGAGGGATTCATTAGAAGCCTTCACAGCAGCTTCACACTCTGATAATCTGAAATCTATTTGTGTCACTGAGGCACGGATATAACACCCGCAGCGCAAAAGCCCAAAACTACTTCACAGTGGGGATTAAACCCCAGATCAAGTCATGCAAGCATTTTGATTAAAGGCTGACTGCTTGCTCAACTCAATCTTCATATTCAGATATTAAAGAACTCATCTTTTTAATATTCTAAGAATTTTGACACACCGCCTCAATCAAAACGTTTCGCGGCTAAAATGCATCCAAATAATTCAAATGTATCTTTGATTAAAGCGAGCTTTATGGAGGCGCTGATAACAAATGAGTCAAACAAAGACTTGCTTCCCTTCGTAGGTCATATTAGTTAAACATTAGACCCCAACGTTCAACCCCGGACTGTCTGCAGCCACGCTAGCGGCTGTGGGAGCTAAGCGCTAGCATCAGCAGCCTGCCGCATCGCCGGTTGACTGAAGGTCACGCACCTGTTAGACTTGTCAGGTACGGAGCAATGTGTTTGCCGAGGGGCGATCCGGGTTTCACTGACGAGCATTTCCTTCAGTCCTCCAAGGTGATCGAAATGTTACTTGTCAGAGGTAAAATAATTGTGATTGACCCCACGAGGAGCAAGTTACATAAAAGGCACCTCGCAATTTCAAATGGCTTCTGTTTTCCTGGCATGAATCAGAGAAGGCAGATATTTGAATTTTGGAAAAGCAACCGTCTACGTGTTTCTTTTCTCTTTGTTTTTACCTGAACAAAAGTCTCGAAGAGAGAAAAGAAGAAGCTGAAGCACAGCCCTCGGCAGGACAGGTACACCAAGAGAACCGCTAAACTGGATGAATTCAAAGAAATCACACATTTCTTGTTCATCTTTCCCCCCAAAAATACCATCAAGGAAAATAAGAGTCAGATCATTTTGTGGGCATTTTTAATGTTAGTTGTTATAGAAGCAGAATTATGTTATTATTTTCCTCTGAAACTGATGTTTGTGCTATATCTTGGTTAAATGACGAGATTGGTTACCGATTGAGGTCATTGTTTGGACTGTTAGCACTGATAGCTGCTGGCTCAGCAGTTTGTAAGTTGAGACAAGTAAATATGGGAAGATATAATTGTTTTTTCAACACTCATATTGATTCAATTGCAAAATTGTTCAAAAGTAAGTCCTCAGCTTTACTTTATGTGAGCAAATATTGACACATTTGCTAAACCAAGGGGGTGAACATCAGACGTGCTAAACATTAGCATGTAGCGTCATTGTCATGTTAGCATGATGAAATAGCATTTAGCTCTGACAAAGGCAGCAGCCACGTGGTGGGAATACCAGACTTGTCTTTGACTCAATAATATTCAAATAATAACAGAAGACCTGAAAATCCTTTAGCGACATTTGCAACTGCTTCAAGGGCTTTTTGAGACAAAAAGATTGGGAGCTCTATGGAAAAGGAGGTTAAGAAGTTACCTTTCGATTCAGTGAAAACATTATCACCCAACAGAGGAACAAATCAGCTCCTAAAACAGGTGTTCGACCCGTAGAATGAACTATCCGTCAATTTCTTCAGATTAATTTGAGCCGACGCACACGGTTCCATTTTTGGCTCCGATTTCCATGCTGGGCTGGTTAATTGGGTTTGTTTTGCTCCTCAGGTGGTCTTTTGACATCTAGCTCTGACTCTCATCAGCTCCAGTGACACACCTTTTTACCCTTTTTCTCACTCGAAATGAGCACAGAAGAAACAATCCCCCGTGGGACCCAATTTATCCGCTGTAACGTTTGGGTCATTGGGTCATTTTGTTATTTTTTTGAAAATTGTTTCTGAACTCTTCTTTAAGGATGTGTAAACCCCACTGTTAGTAGTATTAAATTGCATAAAATCCAAACACAGGTAATTTGATTTTCTCCCCCCAATAAATATAACTCAGTTGGCTCTCCTGGGAAAGATAACATTTAATATTTAAAGCCAACTTTTTTCTTTTCTTTTTGTATCACAAAGAACTGTTGTGAGGTAAATTAACTTTTGGTTTATTAAACCTCACCCACATGATTAGAGGAGCTCATAACATTAGTGCAAACAAGTAATTAAATAACAAAGGGGATCCTTTTTTGGAGCGGTAATTATCCCCCTCCTGCGGGGCGGAGAGATCCTTGAATTGCAACAAGCACACAGATCACTGAAACAACACACAAAAGGAACCAAGCCTGGTTTGTTTGGTACAAGAACCCAGTTGGGAACGCCAATCACAACTGAAACATAAGCAAAGCCTGGACGTCTCCATCGTGGCCCTCTGCTCTCCTCCAGCTTGTTTTCTTGTATAGCGCTGAGTAAGTATTGGTATTTATATTGTCAAATATATACAAACAATGAGGTATTGGTATATTTTTCTAATGATTGGAAAAATATTTAAAAGAATTTGCAGAACAACGGCATGTTCGTCATCATCTTCCTTCTGAGTTCTATAGACAATGTATACCTACAGTTAAGGTCACCTCTGTGACCTCTGTGTTAGTCATCCAGACATGAAATTTATGTGTTTTAAACTTGACTTTAACTCACAAAACCACAGCCCAACATTCCACCAAATAGTCCAAACTAACCTGCACCTGATCGTTTGGCCTCAACTGGTTTCTCTAGAGAAGGAGGGATGTGTGTCCGTGCAGCTGTAACAAATAGAAGTGCGTAAATACTATACACTCCCACTTGGAGGTTGGGGGTGTGTGCGCGTGTGTGGGTCCTCCCCCCTCACACCGTCCTCTCTCCTCCGGAGCAGCGAGGCGCACAGAGACGCGACTCCGGCGCGCTGCAGCTCCTCCGCGTCTCCCCCTCTCTCTCCCTCTCCCAGCAAAAAAAACCAAGGCTCACTGTCTTCTCATTGCCAGTGCTACCTGTGTGTGTTTGTTTTCTGTTTCTCTCTCCCCATTCACCCCCATTTTCCTCCCCCGTGCCGGCTCCCCTCATGCCGCCGCCAAAGCGCCGGATCCGGGGCCATTTGTGACCGAGCCGCAGCGTGTGGATGAACATGGCGTGCATCGGGGACGCGGACCCTTTCACCGCGGCGATACCGGCCACCAAAGTTGAACTTACGGTCTCCTGCAGGTGAGTGCAGACCGCTGGCACGTGTGTCCTTTACGTGTGAAAATGTGAGATAGTTTGCACATTTGACACCTCGCAGTGAGGGACGAGGAAGACGCACCAGCGTCCTTTTCACTGCTGTTGGAATTAGATTTGAGCCTCATTCCTGTAGGGCGCAGTTCTCTCTTTGGTCCTGGAAGTTGGGTTATGATTCATTCAGATGTGGAGCTAAAAGGGCTCACGGTTGACATGTCCTTCCTGCAGCTGTGTTCCGGATCGACGCTTCGTGCACATCTGCGGGAAGATTATATGTATTTCTTCTGGCGCCCGGTAAAGATTTCGCCTCGAAACAAAACTCGCTTATTTTGATTCTCGTTGTGCGTGCAGACTGATGAAGGGCGCATGGACTGTGTTTTACCAAACAAGGTCCTTTCCTCTCTCTTACTGTACAGCTGATAGTAGAGGGTCGCACTGTAGATGTAGGGGGGTGGGGAGGGATGGGGGGGGGTTCTGGATGCTACAGCTGGAGAGCCGAGACACTTGAGTATAAACGCAGAAAATCAATCAATAGCAGCTTAAATATATATATCCATTTTCACTTTTCAATCAAAAACACAGATCGTCTCTGATCGCCCTTTGAGAATTTGCTGTTTTCATTTGGAGACGCCTTGGTGTTAATCCACCACCAAGCCAGAACAGGACGGAACGGAACAGGGGAGATTATTTTCTTGAGTAAGCACAAATTCCCACCACGGTTTCCCTAAAGCACAAGCTAACGCCTCTGTATTGAGCTTTAGACAAACCCAACCAAAGGTATTTGATGAGTGCCATTCACTGGGCAAACAATAAGAAATCAATTTCCTATTAAAATAACTATGCAACGCTTCTAAACGATTGAAACATTCATGCGTCATCTGCTGCTCTTATTTTGATGTTATCTGTAAATCTGTCAGTGAGTAAACTTGCCACCTTGGGTTCTCTTCATGGACAAAACCTTGAAAATATAAATCAAATGTTGATGCAAAGATGTAACAAAAAGCACAGCTGCAAGTGGCGAAAATATGTATATTTTTATAAATAAATATAAAAAATTTCACATTCATTATTGTTTCATCAAAGTGCAGCCACGTTACGTAATAATTGTTACAAAAGTATCAATTCAAAAACGTTGGTATTGCTCATCCCATCCATCCATCTTCAGCCGCTTCTCCGGGGTCGGGTCCCGGGGGCAACAGCTCCAGCAGGGGACCCCAAACTTCCCTTTCCCGGGCCACGTCTACCAGCTCTGACTGGGGGATCCCAAGGCGTTCCCAGGCCAGTGTAGAGATATAATCTCTCCACCTGGTCCTGGGTCTTCCCCGGGGCCTCTTCCCAGCTGGCCGTGCCTGGAACACCTCCCTACGGAGGCGTCCAGGGGGCATCCTCACCAGATGCCCAAACCACCTCAACTGGCTCCTTTCGACGCAAAGGAGCAGCGGCTCTACTCCGAGCGAATTATTATTGCTCATCCTGTACAACAACAATGCATTTGAGCACCTCTACTTGCACTTTGTAAATGTGCTTTAGCTTTTACATTTGAAAGAAAAAGCTACAAATTCTCATTTATGAAAAGTTGTAACGAGCAAATCTTTGGCCTAATACACTGAAAACATCACAGTATGGCATCAATATGTATTCTACAAACAGCGTTTACAATCTCCAAAGTCTTAGGACTAAGTTGTGCTTCTTCAATTTTAAATGTATATTCTTTTACTGGCAAACTAACTTGTGTAATTCTGTTACGAGACAAATACCGAGGCAAAGAACAAAGTCTTTGAACTGAATTATCTCGGGGCTGACCTAGAATCAGCCAGCTGCTGTTGTTGTTGTTTCATGTCGGTCTAAGATAAAAGCCCCATAATGACTCCACGGAAGAAGTCCTCCCGGTAATGACCTGAGCCATTTCCGAGATCAGAGCCGGTGTAGATGTTCCAAAATGACGAAGCCACCGTTCGCCAAAGAATATATATGTAATTGTTCTTTTGAAATAATCTCAACTCGAAGAGAACGGCCCCTCTGTGACAGAGAAGCTCTGGTGTTAAGAGTTATGAATCATCCCAGCTGTTCTTACTGGAACATAATGTGTGAGATTCCTCGCATGTGTCCACGAACAGGATGAATTATAGAAAAAGGGGATGGACGGGGCTCTCAGGGACAAACCGTAGCGACATTTCTCTCACGGTTGCAGAGGCGTTTTGAGTCTTGAGCCGTTAATTGTGTCTTGTTCTCCTTTTTTTCAGACACAAAAAAAAATGCTCCGCTTCCATCAGTACTCATTGACTTCCTAAAAGAACACCAAAGAAATCCATCGACGTCTCTAATTGGCCACGTCTGCTATTTAAATAGCATTAGCTTGTTGTTGTGTGACCGGCACAAACAAACCGCGGAGGGATCGGTGGACCGCCGCCCCCCCCCCCCCCCCGTGCTGAAAGAACGAGCGCCACAAAAACACAAAACGGGCAGTGCGGTCGGGTGTCTCCGCATGACGGATGCCGTCCTTCACTCGATAACGACGAATCGCGCCCGTCTCGTGGCGTAGTCGAGCAGAAGAACTGACAGATCGATTAACTCCCAAGTCCAATGTTGTGCGTCTCTGGGAAGCAAATCGCCCCCCCCACATCCCACGCACCCCCCGCCGCACCCGCCGTCTGCTGCGACAGCAGTTTGACTGATGAGGGTCTATCACTTGTGATGGCGAGGCCTCGAACACACTCACACACACACAAGCAGATGCCGTTCGTGGATACAGCGAGCAGGCCCTACTTAGCTGAGGGGGCGGGGACACCGCGGTGACCTTTTGGGGCACGCGGGGGAGAGAGAGAGAGAGAGAGAATAAGGGGGGGGGGTGTCTTGTCAATGAATCGACGCGGCACATTGAAGGCAAGCGGCGACCCGCCGTGAGGCCGGTCGATGCGTCCTGGCCCGAGGTCGTGCTTCCCCACGAGGAAGAGGGCGAGGGGGCGCGCGAGGGAGACGAGCAGCAGCTACGGATTCTTTTCAGCGGAGATCAACGCGATTACGTTCTCAATGAAACATTTGACCGTGAAAATGTGAGAAATGTTCGTCACGAGTCGGAAGTCACTGGATCGCTGAACGCCGCCACGCGGCCCGAGGCCTCCCGAGCGTCTGATGCTTGCCGTCATTTGGCCTTTCCCTCTTTCGCTCCTCCGACACTGACCATAAGCTGCTCCTCGGATTCTGCCGGCGATGGCGGCGACGGAAAGGCCGCTGATTTCTCCCACTCGCAGTGACGAGCAGCGGCTCGTCGAGGAAAACTATTTTTATCACTATCACGGCCGATTGTTGCAACGCTTTCGCGCATCGCAGGAGTTCAGCGGGAACAGAAGCTGCTAACAGATACTTTTAATGATGGCAATTATCCAAATAATTGGTCCAGCTATTTGCACACTGTACTTCCTGGTTACATTCCCCCAAAACCTAGCAGCTGTAGTGGAGGGGGAGCTGACGATGTCTCTCATCTGAGGGGGAGGTGTGGGCAGGTAATAACTGAGGGGGGGGGTGATTGGAGGAGAGTTTATTATTAGGACTAAAGGAAAATCATTTGTATGATATCTGTTATAGTTTGTTTGTTGTTTCATTTTAATCTTTATCTTTGCAGCTACTCTCACACGTTTCCACACGATTATTTATTTAACTATATTTATGCACCAAGAGCTTTTTTTACTCAAGTTAGAAGTGGAATGCAGGGGTTTTAGACAAATTCATTGCTTTAGAGCACCGTGCCGGTAGGGACGAGGAGGCAGATCAATTAAATGTAAAAGTGAGAAAATAGAAGACAGTCCTCCCAAAGGTCATCGTCCCAGAGTGCTGCTCCGGCTCGCTCTCATCGACGTCGGATTCCTCCGGTCCGGCGTCGGATGCGCGTCCCACACACACACGTGGACACACACACAACCTGAGAAAATCGTTGAGACTTAGAAGAGGGTCTCAGGCGCCACAAAGGCGGATTGATCTTACACAGCTCAGAGTTTTCTTCAGACTCGATTGACCTCATTGATCTGGCGCCATCCTCCCGGCAGGACGAGCCCCCGCTGTTCATTACCGAGGGGGGGGGGAGCTCTTTGATAGATCTGAGAACGAGAGCTGTCTCCTCTCCAATGGTAAACAAACCTGCCCGGTGGGGCGGGGGTCAAACCGGGGGGACTCTGCTCAGGCGATGGGAGGGGCCGCCCTCGCCGAGGAGGCGAGGAGGGTTTTTCTCGCTGGTTTCTCCCAAATGCAGGCACTGCATCCACCTGGTACGATGCGTCGGGCTGATGGAGGCTGTTGAATGGTCAAAAAATGGTTAGTGTGTGGTGGGGCAATTTCAGGGCTGGAGGGGCTTTTGAAGTTATAGGTTTAACAAAGCAAAATAGGATTTGATCATTCTTCAAAGATATTTGCAATAAAATATTCATTACTAACAAACAACATTAAAAATTTACATTTGAATAAGTCTGGCTGCAGTAATGTCCCTTGTATTTTTGAAGAATTACCTCTGAGCCCCCCCATTCCCCCCACATACAGGTATTTAAAGCGCCAGCTGGCATGTTTAGGGGCCCGTGATGTAACCACTGGGATCTTAAATGTGGTTCTGGTGTCGAGGAGGGACCGCTCTCCTGAATGTTTGATGAACGACGAGGCACTCTGCCCGGACCGCCCGGGCCTTCCCGGGCCGCCCGCGGTGGAAAGGGCTTTTTAAAGAGTCGCCCGTCTCCATTGGGGCCAGGTGGGGGCCCCGAGGGTGCGCGTGAATCAGAGGGAGGTCACCGCCTACGCTCGCACACAGACAAACGAGTCCCGTCTTTTGTACGCTGTCTCCTTTTCCTTCTTCTCTCCCCTCCTCCCTCTCGTGCCTCGGCTCGTGACCCTCTGAGACATTTGTCCCACTTGGCGGGTGGATCCGCCCCCCCCCCCCCCAATCCCTCCCTTATTATCCTTTATTTAAGGTCTTGTTCCCTGACGGCGAGGCGGCTGACCATCCGAGGGCCGGAGGGATCAGCACAATGCGAGGCCCCGATCTAGATACATCACCACCCTTCAGCGGCTTCGACACACCCGCCGCTCGTCAGAGCGCCCGCCCCGCAGCTAGCACGATAGCAGGAGCCGTCTCTGTCGCTCTCCGTCAGCAGAGCCAATCAAAAGCCCGGGACACTGGTTTGTTTGTGACGTCCACCTGAGGTCAACGTGGCGCCCAAAGAACCAACACCTTGTTCCAATGGCCGGTACCACGCACGTGTTTACTGGACGTGGTCTTGGCCGTGCACGTGAGGGACGTGAGCGTAAGGATGCTACGGCGGGTGTACGATGGATCTGGTCTCAGATCGGAAAGAGAAAATGTTCCTTTGAGTCATTCTCGTTCTGTTGTTTCTAACTGCTTTGGAATGCAGAGTGCAAAGTTTGGAGGGCTTATTGCAGATGTTTCTGCATTTGTCTTCACACTTGCAGGAAATGTTCCTTCGAACGAACATTAACGTCACTAAAACGACTCTGTTTTAGGGCATCGTGCGAAGAAATGTCCTGAGGAAAATACATAATTCATGTGCACGTGTAGTGTAGTAGGCTTGTTTTTCTTGTACGGGGACTAAAAAGGGAGGACGTGTCTGCTTCCGTTTCATCAGTGAGGACATGTTTTCTTTCTGCTCTTATCCTCTTATGCTTTAGAAATACTATTTAACTCTATTTAAGTACTACTATTTAAGTAGTTTCCTACTATTGTGTCCAACGTATCAGTCCCCCCACCACCCCCCACTGTCCTCCTCGTTACCCACCCCTTACAGCAGGACACTGTGGGCTAAACGAGTGGGGAAAAAACCCCACTGACGCAAGCGGCCGGGTTTCCCTCCCCCGAGTCTTCCTTCCCTGACTTGTTCTCCTCGCCTGCATATTTCATTCTCCCGGAGCTGTTTAACCGCGGAGAACCGCTCGTCGATGCTCTCCGGTACATTTACCCCCCCCCCCTCAATAAGCAGAGACTTCAGAGTGTCATGTAAATTTCATGCCAGCCTCCGCTGTTGTTTTTGGCACCCGTGGAGTGCAAAATAGTGGGAAATAGGTCCAGTACTTTGCTTTATTCTCTGTATTGTTTAAATCTAAATGTGCTCCACTTTAAGCTGGATGTTACAGTCTGATTAATGTTTCCGCCTCCAGGACGAGATTGAATAGCTTTAGTTCATCAAGTCAGAGGAGGGCTGTCATCGTGGGACAGTAGCCGGGGCTAATTAGTCGACAGTATAATAAATAACTGCTGTATGCATTTATCTTTGATGTCAATGTGGCTCTTTGTTTTTTTTTGTTTTTTTTCAGAAACCTCCTGGACAGAGACACGTTCTCCAAGTCTGATCCAAGTAAGCTTGACACACACACGCACACACACACGGACACATTTACGGCTGCAAACAGAAACACGCACCGACAAACATCCACCACATGTAGACAAGTGGCTGGCAGGCACAAACACACACACACACACACACACACACACACACGGTGTACTTTGCTTGTGTGGATCAGTGGACATTTGCATATGTCAGGGGTCGTATTCGTCAGCGTTCTCTCCCACCCAGTGTGAGTGAGGGGAACCAGATCATCCCAACGCACAAACCACTTCCCTCTTACTGATTAAAGGAAACACACACACTAACACACTCCTGTATTTACTCCACTTGAACTTGAGTAAGTTTACAGAATTACATATAAAAAATCCGGGGGAATTCGGTATTTTATTTTTTCTACTAAACAGAGCCTGATACGCATCATAATGCAACTTCATATAGCCTCATTAGCTGTTAGAGCCGCTGGCGCCACCACCACCAGCTCTCCTGCTCATTTGTTGGATGTCGTTGTTTGTTGGATGTTGTTGTTGTAGCATCATCAAGGATGAGGTAGTGGAAGGCATCGTGTCCGTGTGAACGCTGTGCACTGGCAGCTTAATAGATATATTTATAACTATTGTCTCTAGCTTGAGCTTTGTTTTTGGACCATAATCCCGTTCACCCTTGTTTTTCAATGTACTCAGTTGGGAAATTTCACCCCACCCTCACCCCCCCTCCCCAAAACGCTATATCCATCCCTGTAAAACATGAGGCTATTGACCCGGAGCAGTCAATGGTTGCATAGACTAACCTGTATGCAGGTTCATTTTAGAGATATGCTTCCTTTACGCCTCAGGCTTTTATTGTGAAAGGTAAACACCCGGCCTCTCTGAATGCTGAGAATAGATCGATCCTCTCACACTGACTCAGCTTCACGGGCACATGTGCACACGCAGCCCTGAAGATTGCAAAGTAGTTCCTCGCTGTTTTCTTCTGTCGTGTCGGCTTTGTTTTCTGCAACAGACTGTGACAGTCCCGTCTGTTAAAAGCCCTCTATAAATAAAAAACACAAAGGCGGGAAAATTCTCTGACTTACGAGGAAAAGAGAAAGTTGAAAATTCATGTACCGTTTTTTTTTTTTTTTTTTTAATCCCACTTTTCTTCTGGCGTTTTGGAAACCGTGCATATTTATTTATTTATTTTCCCCAGCATCACCTCGCTCCATTCCCAAAATATACGCCACTCTGCCACCTGGGTGCCGCACAGTGGAGCCGAGCGCTGTGCGTGAACCCATAACTGATGCGCTCGCCCTGGAACGGCGGGTTGGACCTTTAAGTGTCAGAGAGAGGAGGATGAGCATCCCCGCCCGCCCCCAACATTCATGCAAGGAGGCACTTGTGCTGCGTCCATGTCTCTGCTCTGCTGACAGCACTGGCCCCAGTCACACAGCATTAGAGCGCCTCAGCAGAGCCCCCCCCCCCCACACACACACATACACACACACACACACACACACACAGACACACACAAAGTGCACACATTCAGGGCCCTCAGGCAGGCTCACGCACCATATTCATATTAGCTCATAAAGCTGGGCAACAATCCAGGGTTTTGTGTGTTTAGTGTGTGTGTGTGTTTGTGTTTTAGCTGCTGCAGGAATGTGCTTTGATCAGTGTGTTTTAGCAGATTGGAAAAGGGCATTTAGAAGACGGGAACATTGCACCTCCGGTATCTCCTGCATTGGAAAACAGAAAGCGGTGATGTCGGTGCTATTGTAGCCGCCCCCCCCCGCCCTTCACATCAACATCATCATCATCGGCCCCGATGAATTGAAGACTAGAAAGGGGGCCGGTACAGATGGCGAGCATGTGATTGATGTGTCGCTTACCCCTCTCCGTGCGATAACGCAGACACCGCGTGTCACCCGATGTTTGGCTGCGAGATGAAAGGACGACTGTACATTCATCCAGCTGAGCCCCGGCTCGCTGCACACCACCCACAATGCAACACATCCAACGTATCCAACATCCAGCCGGGCATGACAGTCTGCCAAAAAGCGGCAACAGTTTCAGCACCAGACGCGGCGTAATTAGGACCCTTTTTTGTTTTGTGTTTGCACGCAAAAACAGGGACTTTTTTTTTTCTTTCTTTTTTTTTGACACGCCTGTGAGGCAGAAAAAAAGGAAATGCTTTTAATAATAGAACTTAGCCGGGCTCAGCAGGAGATTCACTCTAAAATATGGAAATGTCATTTTTCGGGAGAAACTAAACAAAACTGTAATTCATCAGATTTCCACTCAAAGCCACAAAATGAATGCATGATTAAATCAGTCAAGTAATTTCATCGGTAGGTGGTAGCTCATACACTAACTCAGGCATAAATTTACAAATTAATGCTGTAATTAATGATAATCCATGTCGCCTCAGTGGAAGGTGTTGCCTTCGTAATCAGATGATTTTTTTAGAGTCTCTGATTGCTTCACGTGTTTTTATGCTACATTTGAACAGTTTCACTTTTCGGCTCCAGTGAACCTAATCTCGTACAGTTCATCTTGATTTTTAACCTCTTACGTTTATTATCCTTCACTCTTTGCATTGTAAAGCTTATCCGACTACAATATAGATGTGCATGTTCGATCTCCACGTCTCCATCCACTCAACCCCACTTATGTGGACAATTTAATTGAAATCCAAAGTGGTTCCCTCCGCTGTAAGCTGCAGAGAAACGTTGCATCATATTTCTCTCTAGATGCAACAAGCGAAGGTCAGCTGACCACGCATCAGAAGGTCTTAGAATGACATGATGTTGTCTTTGGAGGCGTTATCCTCCGTGCAACTTCCTGTCGTCTCCTTGTCGCCAGGCGGCTGCTGGGTTTCTTCTTCCCTTCCTCCTCCCGGCGTCCGTTTTCTGACAGGGTTTTTGTCGATACCGGTGAAATGTAACGACCATGTAACACAACGGAACACCGCGACGAGTTGTGGAAGGAGAAGAATAAAGAGCGGCCATCTCGGTATCGTCTTTGTAAGAGCACGAGACAGTTGGGTCTTAATCTTGTGCAGAAGTGGGCGACACTTTGTGACACGTCCAGCGAGGCTCCTAACCCTAATCAGACGGCGGCCCTCAATGTTTGACAGGCATCAGCAGCTTGTTAAGGGACACTCGGGCCACGTCCGTAGTCCTCCACATCATTCACTACCACCTCCTCGCTAGCTATGGACGTCTGTAGATTTTTTCCTCGCGTTGCCAAAAGTTTTAAGTTTCCCTGATGCTGCGTTCTGTATACGTGTGGGGCTTTTATTGTGAAAGGTAGAATGCAATGCATGATGGTATACATTGCACACTATACACTCAACAGTTTAGATATCAGGGTTTAAAAAAAAATTCCGTCTCCAGTTCCAACTTTATTTAAATGTATCCAACTGGATTGAATGGCCCCCACTGTTAGAGACTATTAGAATTTAGACACTAGAATCCATCATCAGTACTAGTTATGCTACTTTGGACATTCAGATTCTTGTTACAAAATGAAGTGATGAACGCATTAATGCACCAGTAATTGAATCATATCATATATGTCTGTTATTTGAAATGGGCCATTCTGTGTAATGAGTATGCTTTTGGTTAGTATATCTAGATGTCGCTTTATTTGAGTAAAATTTAGAACGCAGTATTTTTACACTGTGCTTTAATGGACTTATTAATCATCAAACTTGGTTTTATTGATATAAATAGTGATGACGCAGAAAAATCGTCACAAAATCGCCAAGAAATGGTGTTTTATTGCAATTTTAATCTGCAGCACTTGCACCGTTCCGACGCCCTCTACCAGTGAAATCCCATTTCCAAGTGTGCGCTCCTCTGGGTGCTTGGAGCGCCGAGTCGCTGCCATGTGACCCATGTGTGCGGATTCCGAGAACGCTGCTCGAATGCAAATGAAATGTCATTTTAGTGCCAGCTGATCGCCTCGCTGTGTCTCCCACCAGCGGCCCGCGATCCAAAAACACTCCTCGGACGGAGAGTGACGCTGGAACGTCAACAGGGAGAAGTCTCCTCCACCCACACAGCCGCTCGCTGACACCACCCAATGCCCCCCCCCCCCCCCTCTTAAATATCATCATGCTGCAAGGCAAAGTTCTAGTGACATTTAATTAGGGAGGTTTACTGTGATGTTGGAGTCCGGGGAAAGGACAGCATTCCCGCTGTTAAATACTCTTCGATCGGTCTAACCATCTCTTGTTGTCGCCCCCTCTGCCCCTTCTCCCCTCTCTTTGTCATTCAACAGTTTAGTGTGCTGTACACTCCAGGAATAGCCCACAGGGAATGGAGAGAGGTGAGTGCACAGTCCTGCCCCGGCCCATCTATTGTTCGGCGAGCGTGCAAATGAGTCGCTCTGTTCACGTTTGAAATGTTTTGTGGGACAGAATCCGGGTGCGGCGCGTAAACCCGGGAGGACAAACCAGAGTCGTCCAAAGGACGTTTGTCACGTCAACGCTCTCTCTCTCTCTCTCTCTCTCTCTCTCTCTCTCTCTCTCCGTTTGGCATGATTGGCCTAATTGCCGTCGGGGCTCTTTCAGAACAGCAGCCCCCTTTTTCCCCTCAGATAGTGGTTTGAAAAGCACAATTTACATGCAGATTGCACATAGTGGCAGAGAAAAGGAGAGGACATTTGTTTTTTGCAATGCGGCTTTACTTTAAAGTCTGTTTTGCGGGTGGCGCAGGGGGAAAGGTGATGCTGTTGTCTCAGTCCAAACGCTGCATCTTGTATAAAGTGGACACATTTGACTGCGCTTACGCTCAGCACTTAGAGACTCACCAAAGGATCGGCCTCAGAGGAACTTAAGCACTTAAGACTCAAATGTCTCAATATGCCGCATTAATTACAGGACGGGTACTTTTTCCTCTGTTCTTCTTGTTGTCATCACCTGTCTGATTTTGTCTTCCAGTTTGGACGAACAGAGGTCATAGACAACACCCTCAACCCCGACTTTGTGCGCAAATTCATCCTGGACTATTTCTTCGAGGAGAGGCAGAATCTACGCTTCGACCTGTGAGTTTGACAATTGACTCACGTGTGTTGGTGTCCGTGTGTGTGTGTCTGTCTTTGTGTATTTGCGTGTGGAGCAAAGTTGAGCTCGGACTGAAATATTCATGGTGCGGAGATGTAGAAGTCTTCTCCCTTCTTGAATTGAAGACAGCTTTTCATGCCAGCCTTTCCAGTGGCATCTCCTTTTGAGTTCACGCGACGCTCGGAGACAAAACAATTCAATCCACACGGTGAATTATGCACTCTGCGTTTTGTGAGGATCATGCTCCATCTGCACTTTCTCCACTCGGCATCCACTGAAAAATCTTCAAGGATCCGATCGCATGAAATCCGCTGCCTGTGATCGAGGCCCTGTCCGGTGAAGTTATACTTTCGCACGAGTCGCTCGCGGTTTTGAATGGCGTTCAGGATTCTGTGCGGCGCGGGAAAAGGTGCAAAGTGACAAACAACCTCCTTTCAGCACGCGGGAGATCGCTCGGCCTTAATCCTTTCAGACCTAAGTGCGCCTTTTGACACAGTTGATCATACAATTTTAATTGACTGCCTGGAGGAGTGGGCAGTGTTTCTACAGGGTTCTGGGAGACTACGGTTGGTGGACCACAGACGCTCTCAAGGGGGGGGGGGGGCTGAGGAAATTCTGAGGTATTTTAGCTTTACTGTTGTTTCCAATATTCAACTTTATGCTGGGAATTACTTTGACACTTTGACACAATATACTACACAAAAACTATGTATTATTTAGTATTATATAGACTAATTAGCTCCACTTTTACCAACCGCGACATGAATGGATTAATGTATTGATTATTATAATGCAACCACCGTGAATAAACTTCAAATGCATAATGAGTATACTTGAACTTTTTGTCTTGTAAGTTCATTTTGATGATAATACTTTATATATGAATCCATTTTGGAAGCAGGGCTTTTATCTCACACGGGGGTGTCACAAACATGTTGAGTGAATAAACGGAGCACCGGCCTCCCACTCGATGAGTGTAAAAATACCATTGGTTCATCATGAAACTGCTGGTATAACACATAAACCCATTTATTTTACCATAAATCAACAAAGAATACGCTCTTAGTGACGTTTTTACACAAACATCAAATAGCATAAGACAAAGCGAGGACGTTTGGCACGTGGGCGCAAATTGTGACTTGACTGGTCGAGCTTCTGTAGTCCAGCTGGTGGCCGGTTCTTTATCTTTTGGCTCAGGACGTGAGAGAGTCGTGCTTTTAATTGAATAACAAATTGGTTCATCAGGTGGCAACGTTTGTTGAAATGGAGGGAAATGTCTTAATTTAAGCTGTTATAATATATTCAGGTCCTCTTGTCCACATGAGAAACACCTGTGCTTTGAAAACGTCATTTGTCTCCTCACGTGGCCTTAAAAGTGGAGCCGTCCAAGTAATTATGATAATATCTATCTTTCCTCTATTGTGTTCCAGCCTCACCCATTTTCACTGATGCCGCCCCCCCACCCCTCCAGTGATAGCTCATGAAATATGGAACGGCCCTTCTGTTTGTTTACTTGTCGGGCCTGTCAGCGGAGCCACACGCTGCTCACGAGCTGCAGGGGGTCACGCTGAAGGTCACGGAGAGAGGCTAGCTGTTGCTTGTGTAGGTGTGTGTGTGTGTGTGTGTATGTATGTTGGGGGGGGGGCACTGTATTTAAGTTGTGTATGCAGCCTCTGTGAGATGGAGTCGGTGTGTATACCTGCAGGGATGTAAACATGTGTGTTCAAGTGTCTAGAGGGTTTTGACATGTGGCGGGTGGGGGGTCCAATTCACGGTGTGCAAGTGAAGCCCGCTCAAATTATTGTGTGCTCGGCAAGGCAAATAGGAATTATTGGTGTGATTCTTTGGGATAATGTGTTAATGTGAGTGTGTGTGTGTGTGTGTGTTCATTGGGTGTGTTTTAGCATCTGAATGTATATTCCATAGTATCGTGCAAGATGTTTAAAGCTAACAAGCAGTCGGCAGAGGAGACGGAGTATGATGCTGTGTGTGAGTGTGTGTGTGTGTGAGTATGTGTGTGTATGCGCGCGCTCCCTGTTGGGCTCGTTGTGAGAGGGTCAGCATCAGGCCCCGGTACTTCCTGCTGGGCTGATGGCCCTACAGTCCCTCGCAGTGAGGACATTGCTTGTCCCCGGCTCTTGTCTGACTTCACGAAAAGAAAAAAATCTCCGAAACACACACACACACACACCTTCGTGTTGTGCTGCCACACACGTGCAGTGTGCTCATCACAGAACCAGTGGTTAACCTTGCTTTCCTCAGCCTCTGTCGAGAGGTCTGCATGTCTCTCCTCCCTGCAGCCCTCCACCTCCTCCTCCTCCCCCACTCGGCGCTCCACGCAGCTCCCATCCCATGCTCTCTTTACCCAGAATCCCCCAAAGCCAAGACACAGCCAAGTGCTCCTCTTCTTTTTTCCAATTGAAGCTGGAGAGGCTCACCGAAGCCACGTGGAGGGGGTGGGGGGGGTTCTCTAATCACGTGTGGCCAATTGGATTAGACCTGTGACGTCGAACACCCTCCGAAAAGGAATAAAAGAATTCTGCTCACAGGAATTGGGTTGCTCCACTCGCTCCAGGATATTTCCTCCTCATCAAAAATCGTCGAAACAATTTGAATTTCATGAGAACCGCCGAATTGATTAAGAAAAATGCTTATGTTCCTTTTTCGAGGGAAGAAAACGAGAGCTGCTGGTTATTTGATAGCACGGCACTGAATGTGGCCAGAAGACTGCACGTTCAGATTAAAGTGTAATCACTTCACTCAAAGGATGCCATAAAATAGAAGAGGCCCCTCTCATGCCACGAGGAGGACAATGTAGAAGCATCTCACAATCAGCTATAAATAGGAATCTATAGGCTGCTCTATAGAACTGACACTCAGTTCTATATGCTACAACATTAGAACCGGGATTAAATCCCACATAAACTGATTCTGAAATAATGAAATCCACACCTGATTTTCTGACCTACTTTCTAACATAGCGTAAAAAAACCTGTTAATTCCTCCTTCAAAGTGTTGTAAATCTGATCGTTATTCGCTATTGTTCATTGGGCTTCAGCAGGTTCTGTCCAATGCAACAAAACGTGGATCTTCCAGAGAAACGGCTGCGTGACCTGAAAGATGTTATTCCCTTTTCATCACGTATTTTTTACGGCGGAGCGCGACATTCAGGGAAACCTGTCGGCACGCATCATGGCACGCGATGCGCTAATAGAACCTCTTTGTAGCATCTATATCGGCCTGTGTGACGCGCTCCATCAGGGGTTTCACGGGGCTGTGAGGAGGCGGAGCTCAAGTGTTGCCCCCCCCCCCCCCCCCCCCCCCCAAACCCCCCCTTTTTCCTGGTTTGGTTGGGAACCGGCATTAGTAATAATTGGTTAATTAAAAATACCCCCCCCCCCCCCCCCCCCCGGCCTTCTCCGCAGAAGAAATCCTGTCTGGGCCAGTGCCGATGCCGAGTGATGTCATCCACATCAACACAAACTCAGTCACACAGCAAATGTGCACTCACGAGGCGCCGCGGGACGAGCACTCCTGCACACACTCACCCGTGTCTGTTAGTAGGTGTGTGTGAGGTGGTGTGGGGGCGTGGGAGGGCTGGGGGGGGGACATGTGAGGCCAAATCATCACTATTACGTGGGCACTCTGTATCATTTACTTGTTCATATTGATCAGTCGGTAATGTCGACACACTTTGAGGGGGGGGGGTGAGGGAGGGGCGGTACCTCCTTTGCTCCTACTGAGGTTTCTCCCATTTTTTGTGTGTGTGGGGGGGTCCTTATCTGAATGGATCAGACCAATCGGCTCTATAATTGACTCTCTGGTTATTAAATAAGATCACGTGAATCATGACGGAGGGCGAATAGAATGTGAAGCACACCTGTGCATTCCGCTGTGTTGCGTAACAGCAGCTTGTTTTTGTTGCTCTTATGGAACGGCATTAGCCCCCCCCTCCTCTCAAAGAGCGTCTCCCGGTTTTGTCTGCGGGCCCCTTATCCTACATGGCATGCTGTCAGTAGGAAGAAACGCTGCAGCTCTCCCTTGTACACGCTCCGCTGCACACACACACACACACACACACACACACACACACACACACGGATGTGGTGGCACACCTGAGACGCCCAGATAGGTGGAGGTGACGGAGAGTAAATAAAAAGGTGGATGTTAGCGGATCACATGGTTTGCAGGATGTTACTTTGCAACGGATGCTCCTGCATCCTCTCACGAGCCCAGTGATGCCGTCAGCCGGGAGCCGTTCATCTGAAATATCTAGTATCTAGCTTGGTGAAGAGAATGTCGTAGGCTTTAAAGGAAACACAATCGTCCACATCCCGTGTGTGAGAAATAACTGAACTGTTGATGGCTGAGTTGCATTGTGGGTAAGGCTGAAACCTCGTTTTGTCAGGCAAGAAGAATGTGTGAAATGAAAAAGATGATATCTCTGCTGCATCGGTTTTCATCCTTTTCTTAAAAGTACTTTCCATTGGGAGTCGGACAATGGGACAGGAGCGCGGCCATAAATTGAGTATTCTATTAATTCAGCCTTTTGTTGAATCGTCTATTCCAGGTTTAGTCAGAACTGGACCACAGACGGCTGCAGATGGGTGATGGGTATATGATGGAGGGAATTTGCTGTTTGGGATTCCATACAGCATAGTACAATGTAAAAAAATCAATCAGTTTTTCGCTTGTTCGTGTCCTCTGAGATCTTTTTCTCACAACAAATTTTTGCCCAGGGAAATCAGCCAGAGTCTTGACTTCCATGTCCTGTAAATGCCAGAATCCCATTGGACCGCACTGTGTGTTCGGGGTCAAAGTCCCACGTGGCTGCATATCAGGGCAGTGTGCCGAGCTTTGGATCGCTCTCGCCATTTCTAATAATGTCCTTTTGTGAGCAATTTGCTGTGAAAGCTGTTAGAATGATTAGTCTTTAAATGGCGTAATGAGATGTATCATTCATCTCATTCTTAAGCAATAAAACGGCTCCTCTTTGCTTCTGCCAAATGCAATTTAAATACGGAGCAGTGAGATGCTTTAAACCTTTCTGTATTTCTCTTCTGCATATCGGTTTGGCAGCAACATCTGTGAGGTGAACTTGTGTCACCACATTTAGACGAGAGGGCAACCGGCAAAAACCACGGTGGCGAAACCCAAAGTGACATGAGGCTTCAACACATGTAAACTACTCACACTGCTGAGGACAAATGACAATCAGTGCTAACATGAAGGCATTACGTAATGTAATAGACAACCAGCTAATGGAATCATTACACAAGTGAAGATTAGTCCCCCATGAGGTATTAAATGTGACTAGAAGATCCTCTAGGAAATTCCCCAGTTGGAATGGGACTTTGTCTAACGCTGACTTTTGAAATGGAACACCTCGAGGTGTATTCAGGACAATGTCTGAAAGAAGACATGACTCGGAAGCCAAATTGTCAGAAGCGCTCAGTGGTGTGTGTCCCTTTTCTCCTATCGTCCCCACTTTCAGTCTTCGTCTGCGACATATTTGGAACCTATTTTCAGTGATACATCTCTCCAATTATTATTTTATCCGTTTTATTTCCCTTTCTTATCTTTTATTCAACCACTACTAAAACATTCATTTCTTTAAAAAGAAAAACTTGCACGACAAAGCTTTTAAAGTCAGGAGACCACGGCCACTAATATTCCTCCACCCTTATGCTCGAAATGTGTGGGCTTTTGCTTCCTTAATCACAAGCACACTGTAAACCCGACCACTGATCAGCAGACGAGAGCCTCGCGTTAGTGGCGATGAGGTTGAGAAGCTTTTGGTCCTCCGCTGCTGATTTGTGTGTGTTTTTCTTTTGCAGTCTTTTGAACCCCCTCTCCCCCCCACCCCTCTTCTCCTCTCCGCAGGTACGACTTAGACTGCAAGAGCGACAACCTCTCCAAGCACGTGAGTGTCTCCTCCACCTCAGCTGTTCACCCATTCACGGAGACGTCATGCAGCCACATGTTTACCCTGCCGGTACAATAGCAGCCTTGTGTGAATCAGAATGCCAGACGTACGGGAGGCGTTCTGGCTCCACCGCGGGAGAGATGTTTCTGGGTCCTACCAAGGACGCTCAGAGGGTTACAGATGCTAAATCGTTATGGTAACTAAAGGGGTGGAGGTTTTCAAAACTGGCTTTTTTTCAATTGATTTGGATTTAGATTCCTTTTGGTACACATGGCAGGAAATGCGTTCATGGATTCATTTTAAAAGGAGGCTAAAGGAGGAATAAAAAACAAACAAGCTCCCAGGATATTTTCCGTTAAATTCCAGTCGGCACAACCGTCTCTGATGTCAGAAAGCATCTTCTATCATGTTACAGTTGTGCTACAGTAGCAAAAGCTTCACGGTCTAATGAACTAAACACATCTCAACAACAAGACATTGGTATGTTTTTCTTGCCGTAGGTGAATTTCTCCATTTATATATTTTTTATTTGTATTCCCTGTCTAGTCCTCAGTACACGGAGCCTCAGGTTTGAGTCTGCTTTGTGTGCACATTTTAAGGCCCAGTCTAGATGAGAATTTGTTTGTTTTTGACCAGAATTTCTTCTATTGCTCTGACTGATTCTCTTCAGAGATGATGGTCACCTGGTTAAAATAGATACTTTATCTATTTAGTGAAAATATAAAATAAAAACATAAAGTTAATTATCCTCGGAAATTATGTTACAGTTCTGAGTGTAATATTTAGATCAAATATACGATATATTAACTTATTATTTATGTGTATGTTATATAACATTCAGTCAGACCTTTTGCTGCTGTGCTTTGTAGCCGCAATGTTCTGAACCAAAAATCTGTCAAGACTGATTTATTGCCTACGCGCTCCTTAATTGTTATTATTAAAGTATGAGAAGCTTTATTTTAAGCTTTATTCGTGGCATACCTGCGCGTTCTGAGAGCTCCGTGTAGCTTTGGCAGCTAAGGCTCCGATTCCAAACGCCATTGAGCCGGCCTTCCTCAGCGGGGTCTTTCCTCCGAGACTCAAAACCTCCTCAACCTCCGCCTTCCCAGCCCTCTGCCAACTGCAGGCAGCGCCCCCCCTCCCCACCGTACCCCCCGGGCCTTCTACCGAGAGAGCGGCGACTCACTCGCAGCGCGAAGGCCGAGGACGCTTGGGTGCCTCCTCAGCGTGGATATGTGGGACGGAGATCTGGCATGAGGCGTCGCCTCCCTCGTCCACGCGCGGTCCCTCGTCCACGCACGGCCGCTTTGGAGCACACAAAGTGAAGAAGAAGAGAAGAGAGGATGTCTCTCGTGGCGTCTGAGGCATGGCGCCCCTCTGCCCGTCGCAGCAGATGTTTTCCCCGTGACATATGGTTTGCATACCTTGTGCAGATATGGCTGGGGGGGAGGAATCTAATTAAGGGCTGTTTGTCCCGTCGGCTCGATGAGGAGGACGTCAAGGCGCTTGTCACAGCGGCCCGCGCGAGCCTTCATTTGAGTCCCGTTTGTTCTCACGTGTTCCTTCTGACAAACCTCGACTAATCTCGCTTCAAAGTCTTTATTCATTATTTTCAACTTGATGATTAGCGAGTGAATCCAGGCAGGGAAATAGCTTCTTTGTTTACAGGCAGTAATTCCTTCACGGCTATTTCATTTCTTTTATTAAATATACCGTTGCTGGAAAAGCAACTAAAATAACCTTTTAAATGTTGTTTTTTTAGTCTGTGTTTGACATTTCCATTTCAATTGGTTATGGGGCAGACTTGAGTTCAAGACATTACTCAAATTCGTACTTACAACTGGGATTCCCAATCTGAGGTTCACGACCCCTTGCGGAGATCTGGAGACAAATCTTCGGGGTCTGAGATGAAGCCTCAAAATGTTTCCTTTTTCAGGCTTTCATTTAATCGTTTTCTTTCTTCTGAATGGGAATGTGAACGTTTTGTCTTCGCCTGTTTCCGGGGGGGGGGTCAGATAAGTCCAGAGGGGGAGTCATCAGCATAGAGGGACTTTAGTGCAGCGGCTCTCTGGGTGCGTGCGTCACACTGGTTCCCCCCACAGACAGACGAGGGGACTTTGAATTGAGTTTGGATTGTTGTGGTTGTTGCAAATGAAAGTTTACGGACGATCTTTACAAAGCATCACAACTATTATGATTGATGAACCTGTGATTGGACTTAAAGACAAGTGTTTGAGGGGATTTCTCAGATTGTAATTCTCTTTAGGGTAAAGTGCATATTTTCATTTTCTTTCCATTTTTAGCTGTAACATTTGTTATTTTTGTTTTTGTTCAAATTGAGTTGTGTTGACTATTACTGTTGGCTGGTTAGCAGTCTCTTGATATACAGTGTATGTATTAAAACTGGACTTATATATCTACATATATACCGTGTGTATTAGATGCCTGGCAAGCAGAGGGGACGTTAAGGTCTGTAGGACTTGAGGGATTCAGCTGTGATCTCTCTTACAGGGAGGAACCTCCCCCCTCCCCAAACCTTTTCTCCCTCCCCTGCCACCACTGGGCCTGTTAATCGGAGGCGCCGCGGCCTACGGCCCCGGATATCTGAGGCACGGCGGTAGGCGGCGTTTAGCTATGGCACATCTGCAACAGAAAGAGCGTTTTCTTTTGTCTCAAGACCTCAGCTCAGGGGGGGGGGATTTGCTCAGCACCGGCAAAGATCTTTAGAGCAGCTTTTTGCCCGCCGGACTGAACGCGGCTCATCTGTCGAGGACTTCTACATGCACGCACACACACACACAATCTGGTAGGGGAGGCCTCCGAAGCAGTGCGTGAACAATCCCTCCCTGCCTGTAAACAGACGCGTGTCCCACCCCTGTCACTCTGCTCTCCCTGATGGCCACAGGCTCCTCCTCCCTCCCTCGTAGTCACCCCGGAGTGGACCAGGGATCCGCCACATGCCGTCGATATGTTGGGCATAAATGGAAAGAACAGGGATGAGGCTAAAAAATCTGAATTTTTTATGAGGCAAACATTAAATTCAGCCGAGGAAGTCGTTGGAATGCTTTGGACGGCGAGGAGCTGCACATCAAAGCTCTCGTCTGAGGGGTCCCGTCCGCCTCTGACACATACATGGAGGAAATATACTACTACATTTAGGTGAAAGCTGGCGATTATTTTCAATGCATTATTTATTGAATGAAATGTGAGGAAAAATGTAAAATAAGTCCATTGTGATTGACATGACGAACAAGAATATTGAGTTTACTATCATATATGACAAGGAAAAGATGGCAACCTGGACCCGGAGAATGTTTACTGGAATACAATTTCAAAATAGTTGCTTATTTAGTATTTTCTGAAGGGATTAGTTGACTCGGCAGAACCAAATAAAACAATAATATTATAATAATATTTTAAACTAAATAAAAACCTAACTTTAACTGAATTTGTAATCAAACCTTTATTCTGAAAACAATTATTGCAGTTAAAAAAAGATCTTGAATTATTTTATATTATTATTTTAGTATTTGATTTAACCCAAAACCTTTCAAACTCCCTTTAAGCCGTGTGTGTGTCAGCATTGTGCATGTTTGAATCAAACCTTTGTGTGTGTTTCTGTGCAGGACTTCCTGGGTCAGGCCTTCTGCACGCTGGGCGAGATAGTCGGCTCCCTGGGGGGCCGCCTGGAAAAACCTTTGATGTGAGTAAAGTCATGCGCACAACACGCACCGACAAACAAACAGGCGCGTTATCGACACTTTCACGGCGGGGGCCGCTGCCGTTGGGTCCATTGGTTTTAAAGAGCCATTTGGGCTCAGGTTGGGTGGTTGAATTCTGGTCCGTTGATTGGCGTGAACTGAAAATTCAGCGCGTTATTTTAGGATCGCTTGTCTTTGAAGTGAAGCGGCGCGCGGCGAGCAGCGAGCGTCCCTCCGCCAAATGAGACGACTCGTTGAACAGCAGCGGGGCCCTAACGACAGGCCGTAAACACGCCGGGACGGTAAACAGCGAGTAGTCAGACAGAGGGACAGTTCACCCCAAGGGGAGATGTCAGCGACGAGCTCCCGGCCCGGAAGCCTGAGCCGGAGCATAAAGGAATATTTCGTCTGAGCACATTTCTGTGGCCCTTGAAATGTGGGCGGGGCTTCCTGGGAAGCGTCCTCTAATGCACAGGAAGGCTTCTTCCCAATCGCTCTCTGGTATCTTCTTCACATGTCAGTTTGTTTGTCACAAGCAGAGGAACCGTCATCACAGAAATGTGTGTGTGTGTGTGTGTGTGTCTGTGTGTGTGTGTGTGTGTGTGTGTGTGTGTGTGTGTGTGTGTGTGTGTGTGTGGCAGCAGAATCAATGAGTAGCTGAAGTAAGATACAAAGAAACATGATGTAAGAATGTGTTTACGTAATCAGGTTGTTTTATCCCTCCTTTGTTTCACATGTCAGCCTATTTTTAGATTCCCTTCATTATTCCACGAAGCCTGTTTGTAACTTAGCACAACTTTGTGTGTGTCTGTGTGCGCGTTCATTTGTACTCACTCCGCTGCCTCTGAGCGACACACATCTAAAGTCAGAAGCATCGCACATCTGCTCAGTCGAGCGAAGGCAGATCGCACAAATAGAGAGAAACAAAGACGCCAGAGATGCCAGTATGCTCTACACACACACACACCCGCGCACACACACAACCCTGTCATTGTAAGATTATGTCACATCTCGCGTCCGATCGAAGTGAGCCTGAGTCGCGCAGAAGTCATTCACTACTCGTTTCACTTTTTTCAGGTCGCACGCTCAGTAACCAGAGTAGCATCTGTCCAGATGTTCATGTAGGAAAATATTTATTTAACAATCATTAACAAAGTTGCTCCCTTATCATTCTGGGGGAAACTTCATATACGGTATATCTGCTTTAGTATGTGAGGTATCGACTACCAGCATATACCACGTGCCCCTGTGTCTCTCTCTCTCTCTCTCTCTCTCTCTCCTCCATCTCTTTCTTCTTCCCTCTCTCCGTCCCCTCTCCTCTTTTGCCGAGCATCCTCTCTGCGCCCTCACAGTGAATTCATTTCACTGAATGCTTCCCCGGGCATCAAAGGGACGGCGTTCCGTCTCAGGTGATTGGAGGTGGAGGGGGAGATGGGGGGGGGGGTGTATCAAAGCCTCGCTTCAATTTACCATCAGTTTCCCTGCTCGTGTGTTTTCGTCCTGGACGGTCCTTGGCCAGATGAAACGATCTCTCCTACGTCCTCGCTCTTGAGCCCGCGGACTGTGGCATTCGTTGGGTCTATTTTTAGTGGTCAGACTCCCTCGGCTTTATTGGCCGAATGTTACGCCTCGCCAGCCCGGGACGTAAACAAATATCGCAGCTTAAAATGTCACCGGAAGTGGTCACGTTATGGAGATGTTTCCTATTTATTTGGACAATAAATGTGAGAGAGGGGGAGAAGAGGAGGAATTTGAGTGCATGTCTGCAGGGGCCTCAGCTGATAGAGTCTTATACTGAGTTTCCTCAGTTTGAACATTTAATTGACATTTAGAATTATGTGACATTCTCATAAAGCTTCTGTTTGCCTGAAACCATTATGATTGGTGGATAAATGCCACATGGAGAGACATTATTTAAAAGTGTGGATTGATGGAATATAAAGCGAATATCCGTCAGTACAACAAAATGCAGCTCAGGTACAATACACAAACGGCATAGTCTGCTTTAAATCAGTTGATTGATTCAAAATAGAACAAAATTGTTTCTATAGACCATATTGAATTATTTGTTTGAACATTTCCCTGGAACTCGTAACCTGTCACAAAGCCAATTGTTTGAAGCTTCTGGCTACTGGGATGTAAAGGGAATATTCTGTTTTGATGTCTTTTCTTCCAGCGGGATCCCGGGGAAGAAATGCGGCGCCATCATAGTGAGAGCAGAGGAACTGAGCAACTGCAGGGTAAGAGTCCGCTGGGTTCCCATGGCGATCCAGTCAAAGTAAAACAGGCATCAGACTTTCCTCCAATTAGACCTGGTGTGGTTTTTATATACAGTCCCCTCCGAAGTGACACGCAAGGTATCTCACACAGTTGGAAAGATGGAAAGAATTCTACAACATCACAAACCAGTGGAATCACCTGAATCCGAACAATATAACCTACGTGTTATTTTGTAACTCAATTAATTTGCCCCAGATGGCTTCGCAAACTGTACAGCAGGACAAAGAGAGAGGGCTGCAGTCACCTGTTTGCGTTGGGTTTATCAAGACTTAATCATAAATCTAAATGCATTTAAACACTAATACTTCATTGCTTTACGATCGCACCAACAATAATCTCACTGTACTGCTGCAAGCCACAAGAAACCTGAAGCACACAGAACAGACCTGTGCTGAATTCTAACTAGATGAGCTCACTTTCACTAATTTGTAGTTACTTTTCTTCATGCCAGATTCAGAGGACCGGTTCTCCATCGTCGTGTACCCGTGTCGTGTTGACCTTCGGTGTCTGCGCACAGATTATTCAGATTATTTTGAAGATGCTCCCTTGGCCCAATCTGGCGTCTCCGCTAGTTCGATCCCATCAGGAGAAGGTCTTTAGTTCGGCGTCACTCAGCCTGCAGACGCATTGCGTCACTACAAGACGTTTGTAGGAAAGTGTGGTGGCAGATCTTTGATCTCAGGTGAAAGCATCGACCGGTGTCATTGTGGTGCACTTCCCTCTAATCAGAGCTTCCATCGAGCACCGAAATATGACAAGAGACGCAGAGTGAAAGCCCCTTTCTCTCCTGGCAGCACACAACATCCCAGAATGCATTGCAGCAATCAGAGTAGTTGATCGAGTCTCGCTTTTTTGGTCTTCGTCATCCTAAGAAACAAAGGAAAATTGCTTAATCAAAAACTCGGACACAGAGAAATTAATTGTAATAAATATCTTACAAGCCCTGCACATCGTTAATTATAGATTGAAGATGATATCATGGTACTAATTTGCGAATGTCCGAGGGTAAAATTAAGCATGAAGATATTAAATATAATCTTCTAATCTGGGGTCGACGTGGCGCAGGGGGTAGAGCGGGTGCGTTGGGAACTGCAAGGTTGGTGGTTTGAGTCCCGGCTGCCCCATGTCTCAAGTCGAAGTGTCCCTGAGCAAGACACCTAACCCCCAATTGCTCCCCGGGCAAAATGTAAAAAAAGCCATGGGTTTAAAGTGTAATGTAAGTCGCTTTGGATAAAAGCGTCAGCTAAAGGACCCGTTATGTAATGTAATCTCTTTTTTCCGGCCTGGGAAAGATAACGACTGAATGTCGGCTCCCAGAATGCGCCGGTTTGAGACAATCCAAATGCATCCAAATAGCCTCTCTTCTGTAATTTTCCTTGATGATTGTACTGTAATACTGAAATAGTATGCTAGTCGTAGATTTAAGTGATACCAAAAAAAACAGAAGGTTCAAATCAACCATTTAAATTGGTATTATTTCGCAAAATGTGTTTTCAGCAGTGTGTAACGATACGTTAATAGCTAAAGGGTCGCATTGTGACCTTTACCACTCTGGTGACCTTCCTCCCCAGGAGTCGGTGATGCTGCAGTTTTGTGGCAACAAGATGGACAAAAAGGACTTCTTCGGGAAGTCGGATCCCTTTCTCGTCTTTTACCGCAGCAACGAAGACGGATCGTGAGTCGCCGAGCATTCAGCCCGTGATATGTGCTGCATCAACAACAACAGCAGCTATCTCACTTTCACACACACACACACACACATAGAGCAAGTCAACATGCCTGAAATGCACATGGACTCTGAGAGTGATTCATCATGCTCCAAAAAGCTCCCATCCAGAGGATATACGGTCCAAACTACCTATGCGCTGTTACATAACCAGCCATGCCGGACGCCGAGACATCCGCCTGGCAGACGCTAACGGGACAGAGCAGCAGAGGGAGGGTTGGGCGGAGGTAATGGGACGCGGTTGACAGAGGGGAGGACGCAGGAGACGGAGCCGAGTGAAGACGCGCGAGGAGGTCCAGCGCTTTTATTCAAGTCGACTTCAGCTTTTTGTGCAGCCGGGTGTTTACTGATGAAGCCTAAACGTTGAGCCGCAGGCGGTAAAGAGCCGGACGAGGTGTCGCAGAGAAAAGAACTGGGAGCTGTTAGTATATGAATGTGTCTCAGAGAGAGGGCTGTGGTTTTTCTTTAAAGTGGTCTTTGTGGGCTGTGAAATACACATCTGCTCTGTTAAGCTCATCTTCTGATGCAGTAGGAAAAAAGCATAATAATAACTGTCCGGTCCTGTTTATTTATAATAAACCAGCCGTCTGAGATGAAGAGGAGCTATTCTGATAATTATTCAAATACCCTTTATTGTCCTTTTATTGATAAGAAACTTAAACAATACGGTGGAAAGAAACTACTCAATTTTTGGGGAAATGGGATTTTGGTTAGACTATTTCGTCCTGTGTTGACAGCTTCATATGTTTCCCTCTCAGGTACACCATCTGCCATAAAACAGAGGTGGTGAAGAACACACTGGATCCGGTGTGGCAGGCTTTTAAAATCCCTGTGAGGGCGCTGTGCAACGGCGACTACGACAGGTACGGCAGAATAACACGCTGGGCTGAGAGAAAGAGCGAGTTGGATTTACAAATACTTGACCTATGAAAGAAATGTGGCTTTATCCACCGAAAGCGGTTGAATTTGCTAACATTCAGTTCGTGACATGTTCAACTTAATTATATTTCCCATGAACACCTTGGTGAACAGCGTCATCAGACCCATTGGTTGTAGTTCTAGTGCAGATCTGGAGGACTTTTTCTCTTCTTATTTACGCCGGGAAAATGTGATAGTTCCCCTCTCCGTCCCCCTCATGCCCCCGCAGCCTTCCACGGACCGGCCACCAGCTTGTTCAGCAGAAACAGACCGTGAATCACTGGTGCTAATTATTTTTTAATGGGATTCTCCCCCCCGTTCCTCTCTTCCCTCTTCTCTTTCCCTGCAGGAGCATCAAGGTGGAGGTGTACGACTGGGACAGAGATGGAGGGTGAGGGAACAAAGCCCTTTTGTCTTTTTAAACTTCCTTGTATGTCCATCTCATCACTTTATCCTCCATGGCGTTCTGTGGTGTAACGATGTTCCTCCAGATTTCAGCGAAGCTTAAACAAATCAACACAACAGCATATATTTGTACGTTAAAGACTCTCTCCAGAATGTCCTTCTACACCCTCATCAGTCCCTGCAGATCTTGTGTGACAACACTCCCCACTGCTATAGATATACATTAACTATTAATACAGCGTGAACGGTCTCTTGACGCGGAACTTCTCGGAGTCGGTCGGGGAATGGAGGCGATGCTTATTCATTTGATGTGCAGGAGGATGATGTTTAGTTTTTAGTTAACACCAGGGGGTTTGTGACACTGAAGATATTTCTGACCCCCCCCTCCCCCTCCCTCTCCCCTCCGCCCAACCCTAACCCCTCGATGGCGACCGTGCTGATTATCTCCGTGAAATTATTAAATTGGTTGCTACGCCCACGCCACCGGTATCCAAGGAGCTCGTGCCACTGGTTCCTCCTGTGCGTCGATACTGTGAATACGGACACAAAGAGCTGAATCAAATCTCAAAGGGGACATTGTTACTGTTATTATGGGTTCTGTGATTATTGTTGTTATTATGGGCTTTCATTCTTATGCGCTGCAGTGCTTCCTACTATAATTAACATTTGGGGCTGTTTTTTTTCCTTCTTTATTTACAGTCATGACTTTATTGGCGACTTCAGCACCAGCTACAGAGAAATGTCCAGAAGCCAGTCACAGTTTCACATCTACGAGGTGATGCCCTTCTCACACACACACACACACGGTTGTACTTCCATACTCGGGAGGATTTATTATCCTCCGGTCCCGCCTGACTGTAACGCGACCCTAATTCAAATTATAGCCATGAAAACCAAGTGTTGACCCTCAGGCAGCCCTTCAAAAGAGCGAGGACCAGAGATACGGAGTAGTTAGCCAGTGAGGAAAAGGAGTTACCTCGGCGGTGGGTGGGGGGGGGGGGGAGACAACTTTTTTTTTTTACACTTGACTTATATGTCATCTATGTTTCATTTCAAACTTAAATGCTCCCATATTTAACAAAAACAAACACCCCTTTTTTCGACGCCTGTTTTAGTATCCCTCAGTCATTAGGCTGGTCAGCGTGTGTGCGTTGGTGGAACATGCAGGACTTTTTAATGCTTACCGCTCATCTTCACTGCCTCGTGTTTAGCAGCAGCTTACTAAGGAAAACTAAGGGAAAAAAAATATTAATTTTAGTTGATGTCAGCAGCCGAGGAAAAACTTTGCTCGCATTAAGCAGATCCCTAATTAGCCAGATTTGGTTTGATGAAGATGAGAGCAGGAAGAAGTAATTATAATGTACCAGTGAGGAATTTAAGTGACAATGTGAGAAAAAAAAACCCTAAGCTTCTTAAATAACTACAGACTTGGTTGTTGTGCATGTTTAAGTTAAGCCTTCTTAACATGTAATAACTGGATATCATCTTGGTCTGAAAGATGACAAAACGTACATTAAACTCGGCAGTGTTAAATTGTATTAGCGTTAACGCTTTTCTAAAACATAATTGTTTTGCTTATTTTGAATAATATACAGAATAAAAACCCTGTTTGTTCATTTTTTGCATCTCAGCACCCAGATTCATTAGATCCAAAAACTCAAGAATGTGTAATCAACTAATAAGCACTGAAGTCGGAGCGGGGACACAGTTCTAAACTGAGTTTAGTAGCAGGAGTCAGACATCCCTTCGTGTTGCTGGCAGCGTCCTTGGCGCGGCTTCCCTCGAGCACAAGTGCTGCCATACGGAAACCGGCTGGGCTCACAAAGGTCAGCTCGGCTTGTGTTCAAAGTTTTAGTGTACACATACTGTGCACGAGCAGGAGACCAAGGTGGGGAAACTACCTTAAAGACGTACCAAGGAATGCAGGAGCCGTCAGGAAATAAACAGATTTCTCACCAGTCTAATGTGAAAATTAATTAAGTTGGAATGTGAGCAGCATTGCCTGGACCTAGTCTCTCAAAATATGAACACATGAATGATTGACTGTGTGGCTCATAAAAACGTGCGCTGTTCATGAAATCAAGCGCTCCCTAAAATAGCAACCAGCCGGCTGCCGAGATGCTTTGGCTTCACTTTTGGGGACCTATCTCCTCTGAGAAGTGGACGTGGTCATCACTGGCTCCGGGAGTGCTTTCTGTCCGTGGCCATCTTGTTTTCTTTTTGTACCCAGAATTAGGACGAGAGGGCGGGGCCAAGTACAAGCGAATAAAAGGTTTTTTTTTTTTTTAGAGGACCAAAAAGGATATAATTAACATCAACAAGAGCGTGCAAGATCTCCCAGACCGGGCCACGCTGTGATAGTGACCTGTCAATCACAAGTTAGCTAGCTACTGCTTTAGCAACAACATGGCACCGCTGAAGCGTGTTTCTAACTGAAACGGTTCGTCCTTATGATCGCAATCAGTATTAAACTGAATAAACATGATCAGGATTTTGTGCAGCCTTAAAAAACGATATTTTTGTGACCAGGACACACGGGGGATTAAAGCTTAGTTTTTTTCTTCACAGGTTCTAAATCCAAAGAAAAAAGGAAAGAAGAAGAAAAAGTACCAAAACTCCGGAACGGTGAGTCAGAAGCTTTCGTTGATGTTTTTCCTTTCATGCATTAGATGTATTTTTAACCGGGTTTTACCTGAAATACTTGTCTATACCAGAAGTTATTTTTGTTTTATCTACACGTTTATACCCCATTTGTCGTTCATCTTAACAACACAACATCGAGACATTTAAATCTGCATGTCAAAGATCAATTTGATTGAATTTGGTGGTCGAAGATCCATGTGACCTCATCAGCTAATTCCAGCAACTTAAAACAATCATCTAATAGTTTAAAATGATGTGTCAATGACATTTTCGATGTGACTGTGTTTCCCTGACTGGCAGGTCACCCTCCTCTCCTGCCTCGTGGACACCGAGCTCTCCTTCCTGGACTACATCCGAGGCGGGTGAGTTCACGGCGAATGGACGCGTGAGGTTTTGGAGCCTTAAGCACCAGCATCGCTGGTTCACCACACGTTAAATCCGGTCGATGCCGGACAGGCTTTGCTGCAGAATCTGGGCTCCGACATTAAGAGTGACAGCTGCCGATAACCCGCCGCTTAATTACCGGCTGCGGCACGCTCCGAAACATGCTGCGGTGTAATTTTGCATGATTGATGGTTCCGCATTACCCCTCATGTGACTTGTTTTCTCTTGTAGGACTCAGATTAACTTCACAGTGGCAATTGATTTCACGGCATCAAATGGTAAGTGTTTGAAAGCTTCTGCTGTTATCAATGGAATCCCTCAAGTTTACTTTGGTGGTTATTACCGGTTAATAAACTTTATTTGATGTGAACTCTTCAGTGATTCCTTATCAGTCAGTTTTAATTGACTTATTCTAATGATCCTCCTTTGCTCAGTTGCTCAGTCAGGACAAAAAAAAGAAGAAAAACAGCTGAAAGTTTGAAAGTTATGTGAACATTATCTTTTACTTTTATCTTCTGAGGAGCTTAGTTTGACGTTTTCTTTAAACACAAGTCGTACTATTTGTGTCTCGGTGTAGAGGGAAACTCATTACACCCACGTTTTTCAAATTACATTTCCAATTCAGTGGTTATGAAGGCCCAGTTGTACCGCTGTACATTTGTCATTGACAACAATTTAATGAGGAATAAAACAAGCAATTCAGCGCTGAAGACATTGTCACCGATGAGCGATGCTCTCATTTTTGTGAGAGATTATGCAATAAGTTAATATATGTAATACGATTTTGCACATTATTATGTAACAGGAGAAATGGCTGGCTTTCTTTACTGCCATCAAATCTGAAAAAGCAGGGATGTAATGCTTATAATAATACTTATGCATGTATATATGTATATACTACTAGGAAAAAGATAAGACAAGATAAATACAAAATACAAAATGATGACATTAGAGGAGACGTCTGGCGCTTTCAGCCTCAATAACTAATGTAACTATAGTGAAAAAGAAATGACAAAACAGACTTTTGTGTGGACCATTTTTACCTTTCCTTGTTTGGATTGAAAAGCATCTTTTTGCATTTGTGGACAACAAAAAGGTTCTTTTCAAAGCCTCAGAATCACGGTAATATTGTGTTTCCTGATGGAAGTTCTTTGGTGGTCGGCAGGCCGGCGCGTCTCGTCCTCTCATTCGGGTAGGAGCCAAACCGCAGCAGAAAGCGGATGCTTTGTGTAACTTAGCTTTGCAGAATGAATCGTGGTTCCTCGTCTTCACGCTAGCCGCCGTGGTTTGAGGCTGAACTGAAATGAGATCAGTTCTGCCTCCGGTGCAGCTGTGCTCTGGAGAAATGTTTGTGTAACTAAAACTCCAGTCTGCATGTGAACCCTCTTCCACCCACTCACCTTCTTTTGCATATGTGAATATGAGTCCAGCCCAGGGGGGAGAAGGCATAATTACACTGATGCTGATGTGTGTTAAAACCACTAGGCAACCCGTCCCAGCCCACCTCGCTCCATTACATGAGCCCGTACCATCTGAACGACTACGCCATGGCGCTGCGAGCCGTCGGAGAGATCATCCAGGACTACGACAGCGACAAGATGTTTCCGGCACTGGGCTTCGGCGCCAAGCTTCCACCGGATGGGCGGGTCTCGCACGAGTTTGCCCTGGTGGGGAAAACACTTGTTCCCGGCCATTTCCATCATCCAAATACTCTGTATGATCGCACCTCGTTGATTTGTTTCTGCGTCCATCAAACTTGATTTGCATTGATTGATTTACAGCAGAGAATATGTGGCTTTGTGGCAAGAGACAGTTGCTTCAGCGCTAATTATGCTAAAAGATTTATCAAAATGTTGAATAATAGAAGTAACACATTTAGCATGAATGAAACAATGACGCTGCATGAGGCTGGATGTAGGCGCATCTTTACTCCGGTCAAAATTCACGCCACGGGTGAATCTTTGGACATGACACACAAATCTATCGGGTTCATTCATGTGAAACGCGTGGTGCTAATATTGAACAATAAGAGGAGAATTTGTGGTATAGAAACCCGCTCGTCTGTCTTGGTGAGAGCTCATGCAACCTGCACATTTCTCATCCAACGTCACGTGGCGGTGACCTCGTCCCAGCCGCCTACTGTCGCTTCCAGATGTTGTCTGTTAAGACGGCCGCAGCGGGAAGAAGCCACCAGTGAATCCCACGTGGTTATGCAAGCTCCATATCTTGCGTGCGCCGTTTGTGCTCACGGGCAACCAAGCAGAGCGACAGTCAAGATGGTTTGTCAGTGAGATCATTTTTTAAAAAGCTCAAAACATATGGGCAGCCTCAATAATTCATAGTTTGCTACGTTGAGAGTTTCTTTTGGATATTTTGAAGCCAGACCTCAAGTTTAATACTGAGAAACCACTGCAAGGTTTAACATCCTTAAAGGGGAACGTTGTTGTTTTTGTGTCTAATCGCCACGGCAAGATTGGTGTTAAACCGTCGTCGATGTCATGGAGGGAATAATTAGTTGATTTACAGAATGTGCTGCTACAACACAGCAGATCCACAGGTTTGTTTGTCCCCAAATGTCCTCTTTTCGTCCTCTTTTCGTTCTCTTTTAACCTTTCCTGAAAACTGCTTGGACGTCACCAAAAGGCATCCGCTGGCATCCGTTCCTCATTCAGAGTAGGAAATGACAAATGTCTCACCTCAGGGTATAAAATTCTGCAACAGGAGAATCAAACTGTCGACAATTCCACAAAGTATGTACAATAAGTCCGACGGAAGATTGGGTTTCCATCCTTAAGGGCCCGCGATCCTCTTAAACCAGGCAAGGTGTTTTGATAGTATTGGAGAATGTTGGATATTGTGGCCCTCGGGGGGCCAGTTTGGACGTCTCTGAGTAGCATGTCCTCCCGCTGTGCTGCAATTCACAGCCCAGATATGGCTGTTTTGAAGGATGAAATGTAATTTCAGCCTTTTCCCCATTAAAACCTGTGCAGGTAAAATTTGCAAATATATATTATATTAACGCCGTTAACGTTAACGCCAATACAATTATATATTTGTTCTCTTTCAGGGAGATGGTGTTTACATTATTACTTTCAGCCCCACTGTCACTTAATATGCAAACACACAATATTCCCTTTTCATTTTAACTGAGATGCACAGTGTTTAAACAACTTGTTTCCCTTTAACACTAAAGGGAAACAAGTTGTCTTTGTACATTTTTGGGCTATTTTAGAGTTTGAGATATACTGTGTTGTTTGTTATTTCGCCTTGATACACAGGATGAAACCCAGAAAGTGAAATTAATAAAGACCAAAGGCAGCAGTTGCAGCAGCTGCTTAAAAACATAGAAATCATATGAAAAAGAAAGGGATTAGTCATATTTGTGTCCCTTGTGTTAAATGAGTGTATTTTATTGTACTGCTGGTGGAAATAATGTGTCATCACACATCGGAAGCAGCATGGCGTCATCTCACCAAACAAACCTACATAGTCACAAAGAGGATCGATTATGGCTCTCTTTCAAGTCAAAACAAAACTGTTTCTTTCTGGTTTTGTGCAGAATGGCAATCCACAGAACCCGTACTGCAGTGGTATCGAGGGGGTGATGGAGGCCTACTACCAGAGCCTCAAATCTGTGCGTCTCTACGGACCCACACACTTCTCCCCCGTTATCAACCATGTGGCCAGGTAGGTCCACTGAAGGTCCACTGAAGCCCACTGAAAGCTGTTTTCTTGACATTTAGAATTAATTCTCAAAAACCTTTCTTCTCGTCTACTACTTTGAGAAGAGCTCATTTTGTACTTCAATGAAATAAACAGTCATATCCTGACTTCCAAAAGGTCAAGCTTAACAAAACAGTAGATCCTACATCTCCCATAATGTACCCTTTCCTTTTAAGTTGTCGTCAACAGTTAAATGGTCTACGAATAAGGAGGCCGATTTCCACCGAAACAACAGTTTCCATCACCTTTAATTTGAATAAAAAGCATAAAAAATAGGCTCAAAGAGAGAGAGAGAGAGAGAGAGAGATGATTGACCTTTGACCCCAGGCTCTCCCTCGCTCCCCCTTCGTGCCAGGTATGCGTCGGCGATGACGGACGGCTCCCAGTACTTCATCCTGCTCATCATCTCTGACGGCGTGATCACGGACATGGCGCAGACCAAGGAGTCCATCGTCAATGTACAGTACCAGATTTACACTCAATCTCAGTACTGTATGTTTTTACTGTCCCGCCTCCACTGGTAAGACTTCGTGTTTGCCGACGCCTCTTTTTTTAACTGTGTGCCCGTGCGCTCACATCGCACCCCACCGTTAATTTAGTGTAGAGCCAAGGGAGGAGCCCCCCCCCCACCTGTAATAACTATGCCCCCCCCCCCCCACACTACCAGTTATATCTCAAGCAATTTAGGGGCATTCATCTAATAAGCCGGGAAGTTATGAAACTCTAAAAAGCTCAGTTCATCACTTGAACTTTAGTCTGCTTCACTCTGCGCGACTGAGATTTAATATCACGGCGATGCGGGGGGGGAGGGGGTGGGGCTGTTCGGCTGCAGCTCGGGGGGGGTTTAAATGAGAGTCATTTTGAAGCTGTCGAGCTTTGGGAGATTTAGACCAAGTTGTAGATGCATGAAATTAGACGAACTCTGTCCGGACGAGAGGCTTTATTAAATATCCCCCCGCCCCCCCACACATACTCCCCGCCCTCTGTCTTAACAATGGTTGAATTCTGCCATCGAGCTTCCCTCTTTTTTCTTAATGGAGCGGCAGCTTACAGTAATTTGCGGGGGTGTTTCACCGACAGCCTGCGGCGCCTCAGATAGAAAATGGTGAAAAGAGAGAAGGTGCCCCCACCCCCCTCCCCGTCAACCCCCTCCCGCCTTTGATGATCCTATTTTGCGTCTCTTTCCCCCCTCAACAGGCCGCGTCTCTGCCCATGTCAATTATAATAGTCGGGGTCGGACCAGCGGAATTTGACGGTAAGCAGAGTGAGGATCGTGTGTGTGTGTGTGTGTTTGCATGCACATGCATTAATCCTTCGCCTTGATTCTATTTCCTATCTCCCCTCTCACATGGTTCATCCCTTCCTTGTACAACCTCCCTCCTCCTCCTCCTCTGACCCCGGGGTCAAGCGGATGTGAAGAACGGAGGTTTTCATTCTTCTTCTGTCCCGTCTTTTCAACAGGCTTTCCACTCGCTCGCTCATGAAGCCGGTGTTGCACGATGTTCCCCGCGGAGCACACCGTTGCCTCTGGCTGACACGTATTCCAGCATGTAACCCCCCTCCACCCCCCTCCCCACACCCTCCCTCTTTGTGCCCGATGGCTTAATGCTCATTGACGTCTTATGCCACGTTTGGCATTGCCAGCACTCGGAGGAGATGTAACCAGTGACACGCTAATGGCTGCAGCAGGAATAAAAAAAACATGCAACGCGCGTTATCATCGTCTAAGATGATACAGGCCGTGACTGTTGTGCTCTCCCTTCTCAGAAATGATTGAGCTCGACGGGGACGAGGAGAGGATCTCGTCCCAAGGACGATACGCCGAGAGGGACATTGTTCAGGTACGGAGCGTCTCCCGGAGAGGACACGGGAAGTCTGAAGACATGTGGGATTTATGACTAATGGGAAACGGTCGCCGTGCTCGACCCTCCGCTGTGCTCGCGTTCTCCGTCTGGCATCGTTCTGTCCTCCTGCCGCTAAACCGCATCCACCTTTTCCTCTGTGTCCTTTTCTGGGGTTTTATGAGACTCTTTTTGCTTGTCCCCACCTTCCCTGATGTCCTCTTGGCTTAGCTTATCACATTTTGGCATCTCCTCTGTGTTTTCTCTCCTTTCCTTATTTCCTCTTATGTTTTTTTTCTCGCTTTCTGTTTCCTCATTTCCTCTCCTCACCTTGTGTCCTTTCCTCTCCTCTCAACAGTTCGTTCCTTTCAGAGACTACATTGACCGACGGGGTAACCACATCCTCAGCATGGCTCGCCTGGCTAAGGAAGTGCTCGCCGAAATCCCGGACCAGTTCCTGTCCTACATGAGGACCCGGGGGATCAAACCCGGGCCCTTGCCCCCTCCGTACACCCCCTGTCCTCCGCCTGCTCTCCACCCTCTCCTCTGCAGACGGGTAAGCCGGATCTAAAAGGCGGAGGTCCCCGCTTGGACGCCATGTTGCACGGCCGGCAACGTTTGACGGGATAACCCCGGGATAACGCCGCGTGGGATGCTTCCACTTTGTATAGGAAGGAACTTCAAAGGGTTGGTGGCGGGGGGGTCTGAGATCACCTACCTCCAGCAGGGAGTGTGGACAGGACGGACACGTACCCCCTTGAAGCCGTCAGACTGAAACACTGATTCTGCTCTTTCTATTTCCACTTCCTCTATCTTTCACAAAAATCGCTCAATGTTGAAATGTTTACAAAATTGAGGAATGGAATGGAGCATTTTTTTCAGGAGGAAATTTGTACCAATCAATGTGAAAACCTTTCAGATTCCTATTTTTCGGCTGCAGAAACTGGAAGTCTTGACTTTGTAGAAAAAACATTTTAGGCTCCGGTGCCACATTCTTCATTACAGAGCGTGTGTGTTTTTATTTTATTATTATTTTTATATAAATGGAGCATGTGCTAGTTTTAAGAGAAGCATGCACTGTTGTCCTGCACTCAGGGCTTTGTCCCTCCCACACAACCCCCCCCCCCGTCCACCCTCCTTTACTATCACCACCACTGCCATGTTCCATTAAGAAGCAACCCATCACCCGATATCTTCCCACGCTCCTCCTTCCTCCTGCTCCGTCCACCGGCCTCGACTCGAATGGCAGCCGTGCTCCCAGTGAGTCGGGTCACATCAAATGCAGCAGGGACTTGAACCAGCCTTTTACTCTTTTGCCAGATAACGTTCACAGGCACCGTGTCCACAGTGGGCTCTGGAAATGTGGATCTCCAAGCCCAGAAGTCAAAAATACACATCTCACCACTGACGACTTTTTATTTTATTTCATTTTTTTATGTCGCTCTACCTCTCACTTTGTTTGATATTGCCCCCCAAAAAATGTATAACAACAAAAATGTATAATAACAAAATGTCGGTGTGTCAGTCAGTAGAGTGCACAGCTTTAATTTTCTCACTTCATGACGTTTTGGCCAATCTGTACGTTTAGAATGAAAGCACAGATCAGGTGACTCACACCTTTGTGGAAGCAGCACACTGTGAACATGGTCACAGAAAGAAGTTAACCAACCAATGACTTGATATGAGTGGTGGCTGTGAGGCACAGTGGGGCTTTTCTTTTGGGGGGGGTTCCATGTTGTCCAACAATGTTGTACCTAAAATCAGTTTTATTCCCTGAAGGTTTAGTACAGTAGTCGGTTGCTATTCACCTAGTTGAGGAAGTTGCCAGAAAAAAAAAAAAAAGGTTAATGCATCAACCACTTTTTATATATTTATCTAAATAGATATCCTGTGTTGATTGACAGCTTTGCCACCAGGTGGAAAGTCCAGTTAGCCACTCCGAGTGAGATAAAGAAAATGGTCATTGTCCCGTGGCAGAGCCGAAACAATTCTTAAATGTAATATAACCAACATTGGAGTCCATGGTAACAGCAAACCACGAACGTTCCAGTGTCTACAGGTGTTGAGTATTTGATATTCAAAACCTTGCTGTTCCTTTTTAAAACGGGGAAACGCTCCAATCCAAACCAGGTACTTGCACTGCCACTTTCAGCCGAGGTTTTAGGGCGAAACTCTAATGTGACCTTGCTGCTGTTTTTCCCGTTAATGTGCACATGAGAACTTCTCAGAGTGACTTCAAGCACAAGCCGTCTCCTGCCCACACATCGGACTCTCTGCTGTAGATGCTACCAGTGCTTCTTAGGGCCCCGTTCAGTCAAGGAGTCAACGTGAGAGAAGGTTTACAATGGTTTTCTAAACTTATGCCTCAAAGTCATCTCACATCTTATCGACTTATAAACGTGTAAAACATTTTCTCAGATATTTATACACTGTACAAATGTTTGCCTTTTTCTTGTGTATCGGTCAATATACTGTGTGTGTACTGCTACTTCTCGACTGATGATATAGGTTTTGTACTGAGGCCTGTAATCATATTTAAATCATGACTAGCAGGCCTTATTCATGTTTATACATAAGTTATTCATATTTAAATCATGAACGACAGGCCTGTATTTTTTATAAGCTAATGGTTAGATTATATTGTTTCAAAGTAGACCAGGTGATTCACTACGTAGCAACATTCACCTGCCGAATTTGCCACCTTGTGGAAGGGAAAGCCCTGATGTTTTGAAGTGGGGTTGATTGAGGTGCTCATTGAGTGGATGTCGACTGTCGACAGCATCAAAGTATTTTAGCCTTTTAAAAAAAGACAACGTCAGTTTAAGCGTGTGCTATAATTAGATTATTTTCACTGCTATGACTCTCAGTGAGACAGTCCTTTGTGACAGAGAAGTGGAGCTGTTGCATAATCAGTCATTTTAGTTTCTGTGTGTTATTAATTCACTCTGGAACTAAATCTTTACACCAAAGTCCCAGAATAACACAGACCGGGTTACCACCTCCACTGGTTGGGTCACCTGCTGTTTGATTCACTGACTGTGTAAAAGCACCTAATGCAACCCTACGTCAAATATTGCGAACGTTCCCTCTAAGAATAGCGTCTCATTTTTGGCCTGAAACTAAGTCCGAAAACGCTGGTTATTCATTTTGACCGAACAGTGTACCTCAGTGTGGGGACGCGTGGTCTGGTAGATTGTGTACTCTTTTGTGTTGTTGTCTAGTGGCGGATTGCACAATGTAGCACTGGTCTCACATCGGGGATTTAAAGTGGAGCAAAACCAGACTGAGCCAGATCGGTCCAGATCAGGCAGTAAGTCTTTTTTTCTATATTGTGTATATATTGTGCGTATGCTTTCTGGAGAGTTGACTTCTAGCAAACTGCCAAGACTCTGTGACTCTCCTCCTAAAACACAAGGCAGGGCCTTTCATTTATTCATCACGACGCAATGTCAACTTCATCTCACACCATCACTCTCGTATATACACTGTACATCCAGTAGGCCTACATGTATTTATATATGAAACATGCATGACGCTTACATAACAAGGCCAGGGTTGAATGAAGGGCTTTTATTTTTCTGCTTGTTTTCTCAGAGAATACAGGGGTTTCACAGACGTGACATCTTTAGGTCGAGGATGCAAAGTATTTCTGAGAATTTCTGAATTGATTGTACAGTAATCTGTTCTGAGATCAAGGATCATTTTGGCACTAAAATCCCCGCCGAGACCCTGCTTTGGTGATTCCCGATTGTTTGTTACAAATTGCAGCAAAGTAGTGGAAATGTTCCCCAAAACATTTACCAAATGTGACCCATAAACCTGATGATAAACGGTATTGACAATTTGACCGTTGACCGAGCTTCGGCCCCATCACCATGTCAAGCTAGAAGCTAGCAGGTGCCAATTAGCTTAGTCGGTAGCAAATCAAGCTAAAGTTAGCGATTAAAAAAAAAGGCCTACTTGATAAACCTTTTAATGTTTTCAGCTCACTTCTTTTTCAACAAGAATCTCGTTGAGTGTATTGAAGGTTTTGAACGTGCAATTGAAGGCTGACGGCCTAAAGACGAAAGCTAACCGCTAACAGGCAAGCGGTTCAATCTACCCGACATGGGAGTGAAGAAACAGCATTTGTCTATAAGATACTATGATGAGGAAAAGTGTCCAATCAGCCTGCTAATTGGCTGTTTGGCTGCTAATCCAACATTTAGAATCAGTCCTCATCAGAGAGACTAACAGATGCGTTTAGCTGGCGTGTTGTTATCTCGAATAACATTGTTGGAATGGTTTGAGCGTAAACGTCCCCAAATTCAATCTGATATCTTGTAACCCAAAGGAACCGAAAAGATCCGCCCCGTAGAGGGATTGGGAAACTCAGCCACATCACACGCCGACGTGACCCTTGTTATTATTCTATGTTGTGCAGAATGAATATGTGTGAAATCCCTGTTCCTCCTCGTCTGTGTTGGAGAGACAATCAAAAGCATTTATCATTGTGTAGGAGAAAACACAACAACAACCAACAAGCTTAAAGGAAGTCAGCACGGCGTCTTAACCTTCACGCGGCCAACGTTGTAAACTGTACCTTTGTAATAATAACAAAGTGGTTTAATTGAATGCTTGTGATGAATATCCTGTTTTACTCTTGATGTTTATTTGGAGGGGAAGGGAGGGGGGGGTGTTGTAGCATGCATTAAGTTTGCACGTGAAGATTTCTTTTTCTATCAAAGATGAATCAGTGGGTTTAAAAATAATAATCGTTATATGACGTCTTTATGTGTTAATTCTGACAACTTTTTTGCCTTAAAAGTCTCACTGATCAATTTTGGAATTATTTAACGCCTTCGGATGTTTCTTTTGAAGACTTTTTCTTTTCTTTTTAGCTTTGAGTTTGGTGCCCTCATGCACAGCCACTCAACACACTTCATCTCTTGGCATTGTTCTCTCAGACCCATTGGTTGAAGTGATGTGAAGAGGGACAATGATCCGAAAGGGAAGAACAAGAAACTGGGCTGTCTCCATTTCAACAAAGGGACAGAATCATTGAGCTGAGGGTGTTATTTAAAGTTACAACCAACCCCAATTTTATCATGTACTCAAACCAGCAAACTCGTCGCTACATTTTTCATCAGCCGGCCACAATGTGATTCATGGCTTCTGCATGATGCTTGTGAAAAATTTGTGGATGGATTTGCCCATTGATGAAAAATATGTACTAAATATAATTTCATGGGGTTAGTTATATTGTAAGACAGCACAGGTTTTACTGTTCCAATAGAAAATATGGAAGCCACTAAAGATTTATTTCAAATGACTATTTCTGTAAGAATTCAAGTCTTTAAATAAAAATTCATATCAAACTTTTGCGTTGATCACTGCATCCTCACTTTTTGGGCCAATAAGGATTATTTTCGTGCCTCTCTTCAACTGTTTGTTCCGATGGCGCCAGCTCACTGGAATAGATGTACTTCACGCCATTGCACCTTTAAGGTGAGCATCTCAAGATCTATGGCGTTAAAACGGGGTGTGAGGCTGTCTCAGACACTCCTCTAAATGTGGCTGAGAAATGCGGCCTCCTATTCTGTAGATTAGGCTGGTTATTATTATTTTACATAATTATTATCCACAACAAATGCCTTAGATACAAAATATATACAAAATACAAAACTCAGGTCACACTGCACACACAATAATGGAGGAAGTGTGTGAAGAAGCGTTTTAGCATCATTTCATTACCTCCGGCTGCTGCAGAAATCAACGACGTGCAGCAGGGTGAATTCAGGTCGTATGCACGATAGCGTTCGAGGAACTCATAAAAACGGGTTTGCATTTAAACTGCCGTATATTTTCTAGTGAATCCAAGAGTTTAAAGAAGACGGTTTGGGTTCCTGAAGCAGCTGGCAGAAGTACTGTCACATATTAGGAGACCTTTAACGATATAGAACAGTGTTATTTACTACTCAGCAGAGCACCAAGAGAGGGGAATAAAGTGCGTCATGTTTGATTGAATCAGTGGTGTGAACTGACCGTCCGGTCGGAGATTCAAAGGTGACTTTGAGTGAGTGTAGTCCTCACAGATACACAAATCCAGGAGGCTTTTGTGTTTTATTATCCAACACTTTCAGAATAAAAACTAAGCAATTGGGTTGATGTTGTTGGGAATTGATCAGAAGTTCTAAAAAGTGACAACGTGCTAATTGCAGACTTTATTCTCTTCCTTGTTCCAGTCCGGTCCAAGATTTTAATGAGCGCTCATTGCATGGAGTTCTTACTTGACGTTAAATTATTATTTTATTACCGTCTCCCACTTGAAGCTATTATTGGAATACTTGAATTGGCACTAAAAAGCGCACACGCACACAAAGAAACACACAAAAAACAAGTTTATGCAACAAAAAAATGCTGAAATACTCAGCTTGTTTAGCACCTTTGATAAGAATAACACATGCAATAAAAAAATGATAGAAAATACATATAGTCTTCCATGTTATCAACATAAAAAAGACACAATACAAACAGCACTTGTGACGGAATGTGTTTACAGTAAATACCGAAAGTAGCCATGTAAAAAACATCTCTCCTGTGTCCTGTTTGAACACTGAGGGATCAGAACTCATATACATATACAATTAAATACTCTAACGTCAAGCCATGTGAAGTCGAGTGTGTGATCTAAAAGTACTTCAAAATGATTTTGTCAGTCAATGAAATTAAGCCAAACCCGGTTGTTGTGTGAAGAACGTGTTCCTTCTGGTCAGTGAGTTACATCGAATTGTTCGGGGAGCTCGACTGCAAGCGAGGCATCACAATAACTGAGGCGTAAGGGAATCGAAGCAGATCATCCTGTCTCACATGACAGAATGGATTTAATTCCCTTTTTATTTACGGCATTCCTCAGTTGACAAAACATGAGTGGACTAATGTGTTCACGGATGATGATCACAGTCTCTGTTTGGTCAGAGTTCTCTCAAGTTCAGGCCATCGTTGTCTGAGCAACTACGCACTGAAGCCTTCCCGCTGCCCTCTGTATGATAAGAGGTGCGATGCTTTATCGGTATGGAAAGAGATGATGAGGTGGCGTGTGGATAGCAAATAGAACAGCAGAGACAGTTCTTTCTAAATATATATATATATATATACTTCTGCATTTGTTTTTCTCATAGCTGCCTTTCCTCACAATTTAAGAGGTCACGTGTGTATTTCTTCATGTATTTTCACAATGTTTTAAGTAACTGTTATAATAAAATCTCCTAATTCTGCTGCTACTACGCCGAGCAGCACGTCTCTCTCTTCAGCTACCGACCCCGTACGCGACACCAACATTTTACCATTTGTTTGCTGGTGGGAGCAGCCGTTACAAGTTGTAAACCGAGGGCGTAGCGGCGTTCCTCCAGTGTTGTTTGTCATTGAGCCGTATTGAGCGTGACTTAATTTTCTTACAAAAAAATTTCAAAAACTCTTTGGTCATGGAGATTTTGTTTGAAGTCATGGAAATCTATTGGTCAAAATGTGTAGGATCCAGGTTGACTGTGTGTGTGTTTTCCAGTCTGCAGTTCGCATTTGCACACTACGCCCCTCCCCAGGCTCCATTATACATTTTATGTATAAGGATGAAGTTAAAATGTGAACTGAAACAGCCTACATCCTCAGGTCTGCAGAGAGAGTCATCGGCTCAACCCGGCCCTCCATCCAGGACCTGTACACCTGCAGGGTCAGGACAAATGGCAGGAGAAATCCCTGCAGACCTCCACACCCTGGACCTGACCTGTTCAGCCTCCTCCCCCCTGGGAGGCGCTCGCTCTCCAGGCTTCATGCTAAGCTAATCCTGCCTTCCCTCCAGCATGTTCATTAAGAAACTAATGAGAGAGTGTCAGTATTGGTCTTCTCCTCTCTCATCTCCTTTAATGAGAGCAGTGTCAGCGATGGTAACAACCCACTGCACTGAGGTAACACAACAGCAGCAGGAGCAGTTAACAAAAGGCACACTAATTTAGCTCATCTGATCTAATCTTTGGAATTTGTGAAAGCGAATGAAGTCAGAAATGAAGCTTCTGTCTAGCTTCTAATTCACACGTCGCAGCTTCCCTCTGTGAACCCTCCAAAGCAATAAAGCAGACCTGAACAAGCTCAGCGTGATTCTAATATCACTTGAGTCTCCGAGCTGCCGCTTCGGCCTTTTTTTTATTTTATTTCCCTCGCTCCCCCTTACGAGCTCATTAAGTGAGAGTTGCCTGCTCGCTGAAATCGCCCGAGATGAGTAATGGAAGAAGGAATAGTGTGTAAAATTTTGATGACATGCACCTCAAAAAGCCCACAGCCAGCAGACAAACGTACAGCAACCCTGTCCATTCCACTCAGAATAGAAAACATTCAGTTTTGGATGAAAAATGAAAATATCTCCCCTGCTATTCCTGGCAGTGGACGGAGCGTGTTGCTAAAAATAGCCGGCTTGCTTTGTGCCTGCCGTTCTATTTTTATGTGAGCCGAGGCCTTCCTGGGCTGTTCTGCTCTTTTCTTAGACTTTTACGTAATAAATAAATCTCAAGGCATCACACGATAATGCAGAGTCAGACCCACAAAATGAATTATTCCAACATCCAGTCATGCGGCACGTGGAGGAGAGGATGTGTTGAAGGCCGTGCATGCATCCTTTTTGCGAAAAGGAGACTGATGTGCGAGTGTTGACGGGGTTGAACAGCCCACAGGACACATCGTCTTCAGGGAGACCTGTCATCCTGGGTAAGCACAAGTAACAGTATTAAAGAGGAGAGAACGTTGATTTTCACCCTTAAAGACGTGTGCTCGCGCTGCTCGTCCTCGCGTAGTGGGAACCCAGCGGTCTCTGTGATGTTGCACAGATGTGCAGATGTCCGTCAAGACTCAATTGGGCAACATGGAGAATGCAAATGTGACAGCGCCACGGAGGATTTTCTGGAGACATGACTCTGTTTAATCGCCTGAATGCATATTTTTAACAAACCTTACAAAAGTTTTCTGGTTTTTACATTTAAAAAAAAATACATATTAACAATAAAGTCAAAAATTCCTGAACTGTGAAAGGAGTCCCTAATAGAGTTGGCCTTTTAGCGACAAGCTCATGAGAAATTTGTGACATATAAAGACAAAGCTAAAGCTTATAGACATCAAAATCTCAACATAAAAAAACTGCTTGTCCACAAAAACTAAAAAGCAAGTTCATGAAGAAGTAAAGAGAGGCTTCTACAATATGAGTTTGAAGGATATATCCAGGATGTGAACCCCAAACAGATCAAAAATAGAAGCTACAGAGTTAAAAGTGAACCCCAACATCACCTTTAGATTACTGTTACAGTTCAAGCTTCCAAATGCACAAAAGGAATAAAAGAATGTGTTTGGGTTAGGGTTAGGGTTACGAGAGTTATGGGATTTACGGGACTTACAGGATTACGTGACCTTACCGTCACCAAAATGAAGAAGAGAAAAAAAACTAAAAGTAAGTCCCAGGTAGACTTCAGCCGTTGATAACCGGGTCAACATTAATGCAATGACATCACCAGAGCTCACACAATGTAAAGGAGCATCTAAAACATCACCACCCATCACAGAGCATGCTTGTGATTTAGCATTCAGCACCAGAGGCCGGTGACTGAACAGATGAGGGAGTTCGGGCCGGCGCGTCACGATGCATTTTAATAAATCAGGAGGTCTGACTTTCACCAGCGAGGAAAAAATGTCACATCCTGGCTCTCACCGTGCTCCCATTACGTCTGTTGGATGAAAAAAAAGTTGAGCGGTGGCCACAAAATGAACACACAGACACACACAGGCTGATATCTGACATGTGTCATTGAATCAGAGGAGGTGATCATTACACAGGTGAGGACTCCTCGCCGCGGTCACCTGACCACCAGGCAGGATCGATCACAAAAGAAAATCCTCCAACAACACACCATCAAACCTTTGGCCTATCAACGTACACACATAAAAAAAAAACAGGTTGTGTGCAAATGCGTTGTAATGTCGAAGCGTATGTGAGCAAAATGAGATGAACAAGTCAGCAGTAAATGATTAATGATAAATTTACTGGTGGGCCTTTGAAATATTGAGAGCGAGCTCAGCCATGAAATGCAATGTAAATGGATCTATTTATAGGGCAGCAGGGGAAGTCGTGTGGAACAAGCCAGTGCGGGGGCCTTGTTCATATAGCTTTTAAAGGCAAATGACAGGGAGGAGAGGGGGGGGGGGATAGAGCTACACAACACCCACATTTGCATGTAAACCACTTTTCGTGGCTATTACACATTTAGACAAACACGGCAGGGAAATTGAAATAAATAACTGCCACGTGAAGAAAGACAGAAAGCCCCAACTCCACTCCCACTGAC